ATATATATATATATATATATATATATATATATATATATATATATATATATATATATATATATATATATATATATATTCGGGATGGGGCTGTGGGCACATCCAGTCTTTATTTGGTTTTACTTATTAGTATGTAATATTGTATGACTTTTTGCTTTGAATAGATGAAAATGTATGAATTAGCAATACTTGTGACCTAAAAGTTATAAAAAGCAGTGAAAATGTGTTGGGGAAGAAGAGTGAATCTGAGTCATGAATACACAGTTTTGCTCCTTTTGATGTAATGTTCTTACTATCATGCTCATTTGTGAAATGGACAGTATGTGTTGCAAACATTAAAGCATGAATGAACTTTGCTGAGAAAAAATGATTTTTCCTTTAATGAGATCGGTGTCCTTGATATATAGTTTATAAAAACAATTTCTAAGTACATGATAGTGTTGAAAGAACAGCACAGGTGAATCCCCCCCACTCTGATTATATGATATTTATAGTGGTCAAGTACAGGTAGTACAAGTACAAGTTCAGTTTGGTCTCTTTCACCTGTTAGATTCGGAAGCCTGTGGAATGTGTCTGATATTTACCTGCAGATACCTTAGAAGTCTCTGAAGAGAGGAAATCTGTAGAGGCACTGGCAGATGCTTCATCACCTGTTGTATGCCTGAAAAATATATTTGCTTCATATCATTTGACATTTTGGAGAAATATTTTCTAATCAAATCCCAATTTATGTCACTGGGTTCAAAGAATGCTATCCAATTTATATCCAATCTTAATGGCAAATTGTGGAACTTGTCATTCCAGTCCAGAGTCTGCCCAGCGCACCTCCTTTAGTGTGGAAGAAGGTGACATAATCGTGGTGGGAACTGATGGGCTGTTTGACAACATGAGTGAAGGAATGATTTTAGAACATCTTAAGACACTTAAGGTAAGTGATCAACGGGCACCACAGATAATTGTACAAGGCAGATGGTAAAGGTTGGGGGTACATGTTTGGTATTTGCTGTTTGTCAGAAGTTCCGGCATAACAAATTTCTTTTCTGCATACTGTTAAGAAGCTCTTTTATATCTTAATGCACATAAGCTGTGTTTCTTTGGGGCTCAGAAGTTTTGTGCAATCAATATTTCATTATAACCTTCAAAGCATTTCTAAGAACTGATAGATAATAATGAATATGTCTGGTCAGCTTGAGGTTATTTAAGGAGAAGATCCCAAGATTGGTTTATTGTGACCCCAGCTTTCGTCTGCAGGGTCTGGCTGTTATAGATATTGATGATGGGCAAGTCTTTAATGAGAACTGTTTTCCATGGACTTCAGTTAAACAGTTTCAAAAAGACATATTTAAAAACAATCCAAATTATCCTTATAGTAATTCTTATCACACTATCCCTTGTCAGATATACCTGTTGGTTTTGTTAAACCTATGATATCATGTAAATTACATCACTAGGGTGCTTTAATTTGATTGATGTTGTATATTGTGTTCAAATACTATAGAGTCTATCTCATTTATGAAAAGTCCAAAACTAATCAAATTTTCTCATTAATCTAATAAGTTTTGATTCATTTCAGGACCATAAACCAGAGAACATTAAACGCACAGCTAGAACTCTTGCTAAGACGGCAAGAGAACTCTCATTTGATCCTGACTACATGTCTCCCTTTGCACAGCAAGCTCAGGAACACGGAATAGAATGTAAAGGTAGGGGCTATAACTGAAAGGAATTGCATTCAGCTGATGTTTTTGGTTTAAAGTCAGGCGGTATCAGTTTTCTATCAGTCAGTTTTAGTTAATCATGGAAAGATCAAGGCAAATCTAATCATGACCACACAGCTTTAGGCAATAACTGAATTTTCTATGAAAAATGAAATGGGGGGGGGGGGAAATAAGTAACAAGATTTTTATGAAATTTATAGCACTGATATTGGTCGCGACGACTCACTCGCAAGCCCATGAGATAAAAAGTTTTTTTACCTATCGATTTTAAGATGATAACCTGGTTTCAGATAATGCTGTAAGGNGCTGATTGCCAAACGTTCAAAAAAGAAATACAGGACTAAAATGCAGCCTGAGTTGGAAGAGCAGTCTAATTGGCTTCTTTTTCTGGAAGTTATACATTTTCAAAGTGTGAACTTGAACTGCCATGGGCCTGAAGCCTTATGCTTGTTACACATTTTACTTACATTGGTATTACCTGTTGAGCACAATTAGAATTTGATGTTGAATTTGCAGTTTAACATAATGTACTTTTGCATCAGAATTGACAGTAGCCTATTTTGTGCATAGTTATTTCCTGCTTTTTGTCTGTACATATGACAGCTTTGCTGCCTTGTTTTTTATTGCAGGGATCTAGAATTGGTAGGATTGATGCATTTGTTCAAAGTACAGACAAAAACTTCATGGTGCCAGTGGGTGGATCTGTAATAGCTGGATTTGATAAAAAGTTTATAGAAGAAATAGGGAAGGCATATCCAGGTATTTCTTTTTCTCAATTATTATTTTTCTGTCTTGCTTTCAAAATATGATACCAGTGAAAAGTAAATTTGACATCTCACTTTTTATTCCATGTAAGACTAATTCCACAACGATTGCCACATGCAAGAACGCTGGCCACTTCTACATGTATTATTTTGTTAGGTATATTTTGTTAAAAAGAATTAATTAAACAGTATGCAGAAGCAGTATAGAACAACAATTTTATTTTGATGTTCTCCTACAGGCAGGGCATCTGGTACACCTAGCATGGATCTTTTCATCACATTGTTGTCATTGGGAGTTAAGGGTTACCAGCAGTTACTGAAAGAGAGGAAGGAGATGTACAAATACCTATCTGCGGAACTGACCAAGTGTGCAGAAGCCCATGGGGAGACATTATTGCACATTCCACATAATCCAATATCTATGGGTAAGCCTGAAGTTAGTGAATGTACCCAGTTAATTGAAAAAATATTTAGATAAAAGAAATACATTGTTCAGAATTTTATTTCCTGTATATTGCATTAACAATTAACCTAAGCAGACCAAATAGTCAATCATGTATTGCTTTTTGGGCAACAAGTGATAAGGCATGACTAATGACTTAATGACTTTTTTATGCAAGCCATTTTTCAATTACAGCCATGTCTCTGAGGACCATTCCATCAGAGCTGGCAACCCAGCTTGGATCCATGCTTTTTACAAGATTTGTCTCTGGTACAAGGTATGTAGGTGTCTGAAACTACAGCACTGACATAAACTTCTCCAATAGAGTCGAAGTTTGTTCTCCTCCTACATTTATGTACTTTGTTAATGTGTGAAACTTTCTTCCTCTTAGGATAACTATTCTCTTAAGCTTATATTGCACACCCTTGTTGATGCTGAGATATGAATAAAATATAACAGTTTAATGTCTGATGATATTGTTCTTGTTTTTAGAGTTGTTGCAACAGGAGAAGTGAAGACAGTACAGGGATACACCTTCCATGGCTTTGGTTCTCACACAGACAATTATCCTTGCACATATTTAACTGCTGCAGGGTCTGTTGGGATGACTAAAAATGATGTTGACTTGTTTGTGAAGAGACTTCATAAGGTGCTAGAAAGATGTAAAAAGACTGGAGCCGCAGAAACATTGGTGGAAGATACAATTGAGACGTGATATCTTTGAAAGGCTAGAAGTGTCATTTTGGGATTTGAATGTGTCTGTTATATGATCATCTGAAGTGAACTTTTTTTCTTTAAAAAAATTCTGTTTGGAATTTATTTATACAGCATTTAAAATAAAAAAACAATGTATTCTGTGCTCTGCTTCCTTGTATTAGTACTGAAGTGTTGATTCCATGGCCAAGTTACAATTTTCAAAAATTTCTTATATATATATATATATATATATATATATATATATATATACACTCAGTTGATTATGTCAAAGTGTACTGTGGTTAGGTTGATTAGGTGTCTGAGTTAAAATCATATTACTTGAATCTCTAAGTGTATGTTATTTGTTAGAAAGAGCTATAACCTCAGTTTATAGGTCCTGGATGCTTTCAGTTGTGAAAGGAATGGATTGAGTACTGTAACTTCAATTATGGCTTCATCTCTCCTCCTGAAGTTAAAATCAGCCTCGGTTCAATTGTCTTTAAAAAGGCCAAGTAAATGCAGCTAACTTGACCTAAATATTTACTTCTACCAATTGTCAGCAGAGTTTGGCCAGCCCCACCAATAGTTGGGTTGCCTGGGTTGTCTGAGCTAGGAGACTACAGCCAGAAATAAATGTACTGTAGTGGTCAGTCAGTGAATGTGACTTTATAATCTTTGGAAAGAGAACATGTTGCTATGGCATTAGCACATCCAGTTGGATATGTATATATATTGTTTAATGACAAAAATAAGGTTGTTTGAAAATGCCAAATAAAAGTTTTAAAGGGAACAAATTTTCAAACTTGTGTTGATATTTTCATTCAAGATGACTTGATATTTGTATTAAAAGCCCTAGCAAATTTCCTGTAGACTTTGAGGCCAATCATGTCAAAGCGAGTAATTATCATTTAACTGCTTATTGGTGTCTTTTTCACTATTTCAAATATTTCCTGATAAGTCTGGCTTTGCACTCCCACCTCACTTCCTCCACCCCCACCCCACCGAGAAAACAGAAAAAAATTAACAAAAAGAAATAAAGTACTGAAAGTACTGCAATAGTTGACCTTAACCCGGTAAATTAAATTAAATCTTAAAGTGGTTGTCACGGTGAAATATGCTACGATCGTGACCGCTTTAAACATTGAGCAACTTCCCTCAGGGAGGTTCACGTTTATAACGACCTTGACCTTTTCAAGGTCAAAATGTGGGGTCTCGTGACGTCAGTTGATAACTAAGGAGTGTGATATGGATGGAGTGAAGGTGCTCTCTCCTTGAAAGAAGGGAAACAACGGAACGAGTGGGAAAACTTCTACTCTATGTGACCAGACATGTATTAGAGGTGTCATGTTACCAGCTTGGGCGGTCGGGAGAGTGGTTGCTCGAGCGTTTGTCTCAGGAATTAATTATTCTGGTAGTGGTAACCGCGAGAACAAAAGTCTAGTTGAGGATCAGAAGCTTTCCTCTATCCAATTAAACGCAGCAGCATGTGGATACTCAAAGTCATTTTCATCAGCACAGATATTCAAAAAATATATCTTCGGTGACGACTCCTGTTTTATAGCCAGGCATCGACTTGGGGATGTTATAGGTAGGTTTGCAAGGAGATATGTAGTATCAGCGTCTTGCTGGAAATGTGTATATTTTGAGATGCACCAGCACGTGTTTGTCTGACATCTGTGTCGTCCTTTATGCGCAATATTCTAACCCTATCTGTGGCTTTTGTAACAAAAAAGTGCTCTGAAAACCTGTCTGGAATTAAAATGTTGTTAATTTCCCCCCGATTTTAGAAATGAATTCTGTCACACTGATATAACCAGCTGACGAACATCTGAAGTTCAGCACCCATATCTAGCTGAAATGCCAGATGAAACTGGACTTGATAATTTAAAGATTGATACCAAGTGAAATGTAGTATTGCAGTGGTATATTTTTCTCTGCAGATATTTCTGTTGACTAGATAAGAGATCACTTTTATCAGAAGCAGTCATCAGTAAGTCATAAGCAAAAAGTAGACCATGATGACAGATAGGATGCAATGCAACCTCAGTGCGCTGTATGGAGAAAGACATTACATTTCCATATATATGTAAATTACATAACAATTACAACATCAGCTAGAACATGAACATGTCAGTCTGAGTTTTAACAGAGAAAGACACATTTTGTATAATAAGATGTGCATTAAACATTAAAGCCTGAAAAAAGTGGTGATTGCGAAATCACTCTTCACAGACAGCTTTATCTTTATCAGTGTAGTGGGAATAAGGTATTTGTTGTATACAAGATCTCGTGTAGGCATATGCCGCAATGAGTACACTTGGCAATTAAAGTGTAAACCCAAGCTTCATCTGTCAGTGAAATCTTTCTTTGATACCTTGTAAGCATCATTTATTATTTCTGTAATACAGTATATGGAGAAAAAGTTAATACTTTTGAAGGACGTAGATGTAACAGTGGAAAAAATGAAATTGACCTTTGGACCCTTCAGAAATAACATGCTGTACAGATATATAAAAAGCTATAGGGATTTAAGTATACATGTACTTGCAAAGTAAAGGTAATAATTGTATTTTTTGTTATATATATAATAGTATACCCCATGATGGTCGTTATCTAGTGCTGTATATATTTATAGATCTACAAAATATGCAGAAGCCTGTAAGACTGGTTGAAATGTACATGAACTTTGTATTATTGAAATGTACACAAAGTGAGAATTTACCCAGGTAACTTCCATACACAAACCTCTTTCATCAGCATTTGAATGGGAACAAATCATTCAATAGCAGGTCTTTGAATTTAAATAAGAAAGAATTTTAAAGGAGTTGTTTTGCCTGATTTACTTGCTTTCATGTCTACCTTACGAAGCTAGACTTCTTTAATTTCTGGAATCAACATATATAAGATGCAATTAGGTCTTTTAAGTTTCCATGATATGTAAAATGTAGCATTGCTGGTTTTAATTACTTTTGCATTATTTTATACCTTCATTAATCATCACATAGATGTTAAAGCATTAGATAATTCACATTAAGTTGACAGGGAGATATAGTGTGGGAAAATACACATACACTGATAAAAAGCATAAATTATTAGTCATTCTGTAAAAACCATTTCTCTTTTCTTCCTGCTTTATATTCATATATATGTTTATATCCTAGATATTGACCAAAGAATGAAATGAACTGATTTTGGTAATAACACAGTTACAATGTACCTCTCACCCACTTATTAGTACCACCAGCGTCTACGCTGGCGGTACTCATGGTTTTAGTCCCGACCCGTCTCGTACGGCTCCGCCGGCTCCGCCGGCTCCATAAGCTCCGTTGGCTCCGCAGGGTGTCGTGGGATACAAGTCACCGTTACCGCTTCTCCTCCTAGACTGCATGGGCCTGTGTGCCCATCTCTTGGATTTAAGTCACGTATAATCTCAACTTGAACCCCTGGGTATTTTTGTCTCAGTCGGTGCATTGCCCTTGGCATGACACTCGTCGAAAGGCACCCTTGTCAAAATTTTTGGAAATTCAATGCTAAATATCTCCCATACCGAAGGAATTATGGGAAAAATTTCTACAGATGGCTGACCGAAAGTCATATGTGGAGATTTCAAATATGGCCTTGGATTTGACCTTTGACCTTTATTTCAAGGTCAAACGGGCCAAAATTTTCTAAAAATGGGAATTTTTTGCAAAAAATTTAATATTTTATGCCGATTTTCAGAAATTTTACAGATCTAACTTATAATATTATGGACAGGTGTTACCCTAAGGGTCTTCTTTCATCTTCGTGAGTTTGGGGTCAATTGGTGCATTTTCACGGGAGTAGCGGCCATTAGATGCCGACACTGAAAACTGTCTCCAATTCTGGAACTGTTAATGATAGAGACCTCTTGTTTTTTGCATTTTGTAGAGCTTGTCAAGCGCAACACTGGAGGTGGTGTCTGTGTTTTGTTTTCGATACAGCTTAGGCATTGCACTATATATAAAAGTTCAACATCCAATATTTAGTGGTGAAAATAAAATGTGAAATACTACAAATTTAGCAGAGATACGCCCATAGTTACTATTGAACTTGAATGGGAAGACATATACTTGTAATTTAACTGTGACCTTGAAATTGGCCTCTGACCTACTTTTCACCATGAACTAAAATTTCCAGCCCTTATATCTCTTAAACTGGCAAAGATAGTTACTATTGAACTTCAATAGGAAGTCATATACTGGCTATCTAACTGTGATCCTGAAATTGGCCTTTGACCTACTTTTTATGATGAACTGTACTTTGCATGTTTTCTGGCCTATATATCTCCAAACTTGGCAAAGAAATGCCCATAGTTACTTTTGAACTTGAATAGGCAGTCATAAACTGTGACCTTGAAATTGACCTTTGACCTACTGTTCACCATGAACTGAACTTTGAATATTTTCTTGCCCCTCATATCTTCAAAACTAGCAGAGATATGCCCAGTGTTGCCCATAGGTTTCCTCTTTTGTCAGCATATATGCAACACTGATAACACATTTCAAGGAAAACCAATAGGCCTATTGTCTAGAAAATCACTACCCATCCGAATGCGCTTACTCCAGCTGGTGGTACAATATCCGGAGGCGGTATCGCCTCTCTGATCCTCTAGTTATCCCTTGTACACAGCTTGACTTTGAAAGACTTGACGTCCCATTCTAATTCTTCCAAATATTGAACCATCATTGATTATGGGTTAGCTCTCAATGGATGAAATAGCCAGCATAGAAGGCATTTGTCTTCTCTGTTTTGTCATTAGCAGAAGAGTGTCTAGACTGGAGGCTGTGAACTATATAAAACATTATGCACTAAGTGATGAACTCTGTAGAATATGTTGTCAAATTGGACATACATATTTATTTTTGTATGATCAAGATCTATGTGGCTCTGGTAAAGAGCCAACATAATTGTATCCAATGATATAATTTATATATCTATATGATATAAGGCTATCATTTAGAATAAAAAAAAAAAGAAAAATTAAATCACAACACTGTTTCTCTGCCCCTATATCACTGGATTTCTAACTGTTAAATAGTAATGCGCCCAGTTTTTCATTATTATTATCATATTCAAAGCCATCATGGCCAGGTCTTGAAAACATTTGGTATGATAAATAAAATGAATTAGGATATTGCATTTAAAATAGTGAAAATGATTGCAGTAATGTATAAAATGAGACTAAAATGTCCAGATGGACTTGAAAGCTTTTTAGATGATCTCTGATCTTCTTTGGTGTTTATATAGTCTTCATAAACTCATGTCAGTGTTGACTTAAGCTGCTCTTGAACATCACCTGGGAGATAGAAAGAATTACTGGAAATTGGTGAATTTTGACATCAGATTAGTTTGGTATGTGGAGAATCCAGGCTATAATGATTTGTTCAATGGGGGAATTCAGATAATTTGATTATTTTCTAAATCAGATGCCTGGATAACAAAGTCTGATGAGATGTTTCACAAGAACATCTTTATGTGAACAATCCAATTCTGACTTATCTATAATCTTTGTTGAATGTATTAAAATTTCTAACTTTTTTTTTAAGATACAAAAATTCCTTGAAGCATTAAGTTTTACAGTGCCTTCTCTGCTTCCTCCGTGATGATGTCAGTTCAGCTGTTATGCTTTTTTTTTTACCTTAAGCATATATTACATATTTATTCATGTCATGGTATTAATAATGTATGAAGAGAACATAAGTTGTGAAGTTGCTATACATGGCTTCACATTCTCTGAGCATGAACCTGTATATTCAGGGCTGGTTTACTGCTTTCATTGTTGAACCATATATGTGGAAATATTTAACATATTTTAAAAGTGAATATATTTCAAAATCTGTTTGATTCAGTAAAATTTATGATGAGTTCAGGCTTAGCTGACCATTTTGTATCTTATGGTAAACAAAACAGGTAATAGGAAAGTTTTAATGCATACACCACATGAAGCTGCCTGTACTCCTATTTATACATTTCTTTATTGGCAAAGATTCAGATAGAACTTCTTGAAAGGTCAATGAGTCTGAGTTTGTGGGATCTGCTTAATTTCACTTATAATGGTTTATGCTTTTGAGCTAATAAGTTGAGGTTTGATTTGCAGATATGTCCCAGTATGCAACCTTTTTGCATTTTTGCTTACAAACATAAAAAAGCCTCCAGTTTGCAAAGAAAAACCTGTTTGGATTACAATGAACTTTGGTTTACACTGATTGTTCATGTAATTGTAGGTGTGGCTGATGGTGTGGGAGGATGGCGTGCCTATGGTGTCGATCCATCCCAATTTGCACATTCCCTTATGCGCACATGCGAGCGCCTGGTCAGTGAGGGTCACTTCCGTCCCGAATCTCCAGAAGCCATTATAGCTGCAAGTTATTCAGAGCTTATGGAAAACAAAGTACCACTTTTAGGTAAAATATGATATGGAATAACGTATTTACCTTAGTATAGAATATCTTATAATTTCTTTATGAAATTCTAATCTTTGTGAAAATGTAGCAGTGCATCTTGATGGCATTGACTAAATTTATGAGATTTGCTTATTTTTTTTTTTTCAAACAAAGTATGGGTGTTTTCTTCTTAAATCATTGAAGGAGGTGGTATATGATTAATTATTACATAAAATGTACATCTATGATTTGTTTTTTCTGCTTTTGTTTCTATACGGTTAGAATTCATGTGTCATTTTCGATCCAAACTGAAAAAAAATTGAAAGTGTTCATTTGACCCCCACTTATTGAAGGAAATAAACATTTTTTTTTTACTTCTTTTTCTTAGGAAGTTCAACAGCATGTGTTGTATCACTCTTCCGTGAAGAAAAGACAATCTACACAGCTAACCTTGGAGACAGTGGGTTTCTTCTTATACGTAATGGCAATGTAGTCCACAGATCTGAGGAACAAACACACTACTTCAACACACCTTTCCAGCTAGCAGTAGCTCCACCTATGCAAGAGGGTCTGGTGTTAAGTGATAGGTAAGACATGATACTTATTAAGCATTTTACTTAAATTTTAGATTGAGATGTATAAGCGAGCATTCAGATCAAATATGGCCGACCCACTTAAAAGGTAGCCGCTTATAATCCCCTAATGGTCTCCCTGCCTCCACATGTGCCATCCCAGCAGGGGCCAAGCAATTAAACCACAGAGCAACAAGAATTAATCCGTAGAGGCAGTGAGACCACAAGGAGATTGAGCGGCTTCCTTTTATGATGGGTCAGCCATATTTAGTCCGTGGATGTTCTGTTTTGAATGCGCTCATATTGTCGCTTATGTGAATGTATACCTGTATTAACTTAAAATAAGTTTCTACGCCAATTTGTTTTGTTATCCGTTGAACTTAATATGAAAGAACTGGCACTTTCTTACCACATTTTAGTGGATGCTGATCCCAGTGTTAAAGGCAAATTTTGGAGTATGATGTCCATCTCTTTGCAAAACGAGTGAAAAGCATCAGTGTAAAATCAATTACTTTTAGTGACATGTTATTTTTAAAACAAGGCGTCTTGAAAGGGTGAATTGGATTAAAACGTGATATAAGGACAATTATTATCCCATCATCATACATGATTGATGGAGCATCATGCTTTCAGGAGAGGTATTATTCAGGTAGGTTGTAAAAACTGAAAGTGTAGGACACATTTCTTTTTTGACCCATGGACACATGTAACTGTGCTGCAAATAATGTCCTGGATAACACTGCTACAAAGTGAAATTCTAACCTGAAGCCCTAAGGTTCTTTAAGTAAAAAGGTTGTGAAGACAAGTCACAATGGTGTGGGGGGATTTATTCACTTACAGTAGGCTTCTTTTCTGAAGGCATGGTTGCAGCTAGACTGGATCAATAGAAATACCAATAACCAAACAATAACTTACATTTAACATTGATTACGTGATTTGCGTGGGAGATTGAGGGGCTTAAGAGCTTTTCAACATCAATGAATTTCTCCTCTTCAGCTGTGGGATTTTTTGTGGTTTTATCATTATAGATATATTGTTGACAACACCTTAACCCCCTTTTTTTTGTTATGCCAAACTTTTATGCTATGTCAAGGACACTGCTTTAGTGTTAACCTTGTAATATTTTTTTTAACTTTTCAATTTTTGTGGTGTATGCAGTGAACTGGGAAATTACACGCCATAAAACCGACAGTTAGGTGTTATGTTACTGTCTGACTTTGAAATAAAATGTTCTCTTTGCAACTTTCTGTCTGCAACCAGTGTCATAATTTATTTAGCCATGAGGGAAGGCGGCATTATGCAGTATACCCAGCCCATGTTTGCCAGTTTTAATTGAAATTAAAGGAATTTGGACCCGTCAGAAACTTTTTTTTTCAATTCCTGGTCATGTTGATTGTGGTTGAGCTGCGCTAGAATTAGAATGACTGTTACTTTGAACTTGATTTTAATAANATATATATATATATATATATATATATATATATATATATATATATATATATATATATATATATATATATTCGGGATGGGGCTGTGGGCACATCCAGTCTTTATTCGGTTTTACTTATTAGTATGTAATATTGTATGACTTTTTGCTTTGAATAGATGAAAATGTATGAATTAGCAATATTTGTGACCTAAAAGTTATAAAAAGCAGTGAAAATGTGTTGGGGAAGAAGAGTGAATCTGAGTCATGAATGCACAGTTTTGCTCCTTTTGATGTAATGTTCTTACTATCGTGCTCATTTGTGAAATGGACAGTATGTGTTGCAAACATTAAAGCATGAATGAACTTTTCTGTGAAAAAATTTTTCTTTTAATGAGATCGGTGTCCTTGATATATAGTTTATAAAAACAATTTCTAAGTACATGATACTGATAGTGTTGAAAGAACAGCACAGGTGAATCCCCCCACTCTGATTTATGATATTTATAGTGGTCAAGTACAGGTAGTACAAGTACAATTTCAGTTTGGTCTCTTTCACCTGTTAGATTGGGAAGCCTGTGGAATGTGCCTGATATTTACCTGCAGATACCTTAGAAGTCACTGAAGAGAGGAAAACTGTAGAGGCACTGGCAGATGCTTCATCACCTGTTGTATGCCTGAAAAATATATTTGCTTCATATCATTTGACATTTTGGAGAAATATTTTCTAATCAAATCCCAATTTATGTTACTGAGCTTAGAGAATACTTTCCAAATTATATCCGATCTTTATAGCAAATTGTGGATCTTGTCATTCCAGTCCAGAGTCTGCCCAGCGTACCTCCTTTAGTGTGGAAGAAGGTGACATAATCGTGGTGGGAACTGATGGGCTGTTTGACAACATGAGTGAAGGAATGATTTTAGAACATCTTAAGACACTTAAGGTAAGTGATCAACCGGCACCACAGATAATTGTACAAGGCAGATGGTAAAGGTTGGGGGTACATGTTTGGTATTTGCTGTTTGTCAGAAGTTCCGGCATAACAAATTTCTTTTCTGCATACTGTTAAGAAGCTCTTTTATATCTTAATGCACATAACCTGTGTTTCTTTGGGGCTCTTAAGTATTGTGCAATCAATATTTCATTATAACCTTCAAAGCATTTCTAGGAACTGATAAATAATAATGAATATGTCTGGTCAGCTTGAGGTTATTTAAGGAGAAGATTCTAAGATTGGTTTATTATGAACCCAGCTTTTGTCTGCATGGTCTGGCTGTTGTAGATATTGATGATGGGCAAGTCTTTAATGAGAACTGTTTTCCGTGGACATCAGTTAAACAGTTTCAAAAAGACATATTTAAAAACAATCCAAATTATCCTTACAGTAATTCTTATCACACTATCCCTAGTCAGATATACCTTTTGGTTTTGTTAAACCTATGATATCATGTAAATTACATCACTAGGGTGCTCTAATTTAATTGCTGTTGTATATTGTGTTCAAATACTATAGAGTCTATCTCATTTATGAAAAACCCAAAACTAATCAAATTTTCTCATTCATCTAATAAGTTTTAATTCATTTCAGGACCATAAACCAGAGAACATTAAACGCACAGCTAGAACTCTTGCTAAGACGGCAAGAGAACTCTCATTTGATCCTGACTACATGTCTCCCTTTGCACAGCAAGCTCAGGAACACGGAATAGAATGTAAAGGTAGGGGCTATAACTGAAAGGAATTGCATTCAGCTGATGTTTTTGGTTTAAAGTCAGGCGGTATCAGTTTTCTATCAGTCAGTTTTAGTTAATCATGGAAAGATCAAGGCAAATCTAATCATGACCACACAGCCTTAGGCAATAACTGAATTTTCTATGAAAAATGAAATGGGGGGGGGGGGAAATAAGTAACAAGATTTTTATGAAATTTATAGCACTGATATTGGTCGCGACGACTCACTCGCAAGCCCATGAGATAAAAAGTTTTTTTACCTATCGATTTTAAGATGATAACCTGGTTTCAGATAATGCTGTAAGGAGGATAAATTTCTGTCAATCCTTTGGATGCAAATGTCACAGGCCAGACTGAAATCCAGGAAGGTTTTTCATATGTTTGTAATCGCCCATATGCTAGATATTTCGTAAAGTTGTTCTTATCCATAAACAATATAACCAAATTGGCTTTATTACACTTTCTTAATCCGATTTGTGAATGGTCCACATTAAGGCAGACACAAGGGACCTCCAATTCTTTCTCTCCTTGAGCTGCTGTGCCTATGGGGTTCCACGCTAGCCCTGTTCTCTTCATTTCTGCCTTGATGGCTTTATTAGGGATGTGATAATTTTTTAATGATTTTAAATAGACTTAAGAGTTGGATTTCACTCTGGCCTAGGCCCGAATTTTAAACCCGTAGGCAAGATTGCGATTTCAGATATATCAAGCTCGATTTAAATTCTGCCTGGAGTTCAATCTGGCCCGTGACTGGTACACAGATTGTATCATGCGTTACTTGCCCAAGGGTGTGTGTGCTAACCGCAAGTTTTGCAAATATGAGAAGAAAAAAAAGGATGTAAATGGGTCCACACAAGGATGTAACTGGTACACAGAATTTGACGCAAAATAAATCAATATTTAATCTCAGTTTTGATCCGATTTTTCACTAAAATGTTATCTACCCAACATGCTAGCTTTTACAAAGTTACCTGTGAACAGCTGTTGAAAATACCAAAGGTCCAACTCCTACACCTTGTTAATGGTTAGAAGAAGATTAGTTTATTTTGGCTCCCTTATGCTATTATTTATGTTTCAGCAAAGTGCCAAAAATTAAATGTATTTCAAGACACAAATTTCTGTATGGTATACCAGCATGTGGTTTAAAACATTGGTGGTGTATGATTCTGTGTATATGACAAAAGATATTGTTGAACTGACCATTTTCTCATATTTCACGTCGGGGCCGTAGCAATAGTCCGAAGGTTCAATAGTCCGAAGGTTCATTGGTCCGAATGTTCACTACAGAACCTTCGGACCAATGAACCCTTGATTAAAAAAACCGATGAAAATGTTACCGTTTTTCAGACCAATGAACCTTCGGACCAATGAACCTTTGGACTATCGAGACACCCCCGTTACATCACTCTTAAGTTGTTTTCTTCTAGGTTATTCAAAATTTACTTCAAATTGAAATTTATTTGTAATTTGTGGATCTTTTTCATTTCAGGAGGCAAGCCAGATGATATCACAGTAATTTTAGCCTGTGTGCAATTAGGAGACACCTTTAGCTAGCATTCATCAGTGTTAAAGAAACTGCCCAGAAAACATTAACTGCCACAGAATAGTGTCACTCCAAGAGAACTGCTTTGAAATACCACAAGGATGTGCTCAAAAAGAATCAGAAATATTCTAGTCCAGAAAAGTCTTTTCGATTTCAATGAAGAACGGAACTTTGAAACACTGGTCATGAGCACAGTTAGTAATTATGAATGGTGCACACCCATCAAGAACTAATGCTCATAGTTCTTTTTGAGCCACCTGGTACCAACAAAAAGATTATTGATTTGTTAATGGAATCAGTACAGTATTCTGTGATGATTTGTTAAACATGAAAATATGGTCTTCTGTAATACTTTCTTGAAGCATGCCATATGTTCTTGGAGAGAGTAAAAATGTTGGAATTGTGTATTGGTAGTAATGGTAGTCACAATTATATTGGAAGATGTATAGGAATTGATTTAAGTTATAGCATTTTGTGTTTCATTCTCTTGAAATCATTTTTGTGTCTTGATATGTTATTATTTCTTCAATTGAATAATGTCATTTCATGTGCACACTTCTTTCATTTTGAAAGAAGTTTTATAGTTCATAAAATAGAATATAGATTTGTTAAGCATAGTACTTACAATCTCTCTGCTGAAATATGAGTATTAATTTATAGTTAAGAAAAACCATTAAATATATATTGAATTACTGAAATTATATAGATTAAGTTTGTATAAATGTGTAAAAAAGTAATTAAAATATACCAAACTGTTACCAATCAAAAGCTTTGTCATGCGCAGAGGACTTCTTCGACTCGTTTGAGTGGGGATCAAACAAATTAACGTGAAATCAAGCAAAATTTCACAGAAGTTGGAGGAGAGGAGGACTCGGAAATCATGTCAGACTAGGGAATGCAGTGCTGTTTTCTAGTCTGCTGTATGGCGTCATGTAGTGCCATCAGTCTCATTTTAAGCTGGGATGATTCCCATTAGTTCTCTGACTTACAGGAAGTGAAATCTAACAGGATTATATGTGCCTGTCCTAAATAGATGTGATGATAACGAGCACATTTGGGGAGGGGAGGGGGGTTAAATATCTGTTCTGTTTAACTGAGGGAGTGGGGACGCATGGAAGAAATTGTTTTAGTAGTTTTAGTATTGAAACAATTTAGTTGAAGACGAGTGATATCCTTGATTTGCAATGTTTGGTCTCCTTTGTTTGATGTGAAATGTTTAAGTTTTATCCAATGACATTTAGACTTTGGTGTGATAAAAATAACCAGGCAAATAGCTCCTCTTCAGAGCTGTGAAAAATCCTGTTATAACACATTGCTCTAGCTTTGGTATCAGAGTTAGAAATATATATAAATATATATTTATGCTAGAGACTTATTTACTTATTTTTGATTATAGTGAACACTCACGGCACCATTCCATTCAGTTTTAATGTACACCACATAGTAAGATGTAACTTTAGCTGTCACTTCATTATTTTCCCATTGACCGTTTTAATCGAAATATCATATTTCTTGGGTTAAAACTAAGGATATGAATCCAGCAAAGAATTTCATCAGCTGCAGTATGCACTGAAAGTTGCAATAATCATTTTTTGAACTGAACTATTAAAGTGGAAATAACTGAGTTATGATGTTAAAAGAAACTGTTCATGCAACTTTAAGGACATGAAATTTCATATGCACTGGAAACTTAACATTGCTGTTGGGATGAGAAATTGTTCAGAAAGACTAATATATCAAACAAAATTAATAATTGGTAATGCTAAAGTGAACAGAGGGTCATACAGTGCAACTGCCACATGATTGTATTCTTGATAAGAAACTGTGTGGAAGGTTTTGGAAATATATTCATTTTAAAAATGTAAATTTAAGACATATGAGGCAGATGAGATTTAACCAGCAGAAAATGGTTTTTAAAAAATATAATCCATGTTCTGTCTGAACATACAAGGTTTCCAATGATCATCAACCATGATCATGAATATTTAGCCAGTGATTTGTATATCTAAGTCTACCATGTATTTTGTGTCGGAAAGTTTTGTTTTGTGATTACATTATTTATCGCACTGAAATGTAGTAAGGCGGGGGTAGTCAGAGGTGTAAGAAAAATTGAAAGCATTGTGTAATGTGTTGGTTTTCTTGTTTGTAACTTTTTTCTTGTCAACAGTGTGGGGAATGAAAATGAGTGAGTGGTTATTCCCTTTTATCAGATTCTTTAAGTTATGGAATGCTCACCTTCCTATAAAAGCTTAACTCTCAAAATGTGTACAGGGAATGTTTCCCATTTTGCAAACTAGGTACATAAAGTGAATAAAAATTGTATTAAATGAAATATTTTTTTTTTGTTTTGTTGTAAATAGACTGTGCAGAAACTTAGTTTCTTGTCAAAATTCTGCAAAAACAAAATGCAAATGAAAATTCTGTGAACGTCTTCATATATATTTTTAACAGATTTCTTATACATAACCAGCAGAGGGGTTACCACAAACAATTGATGTTCTCTCTTGCCCCTCATATCATGGTTACACTACTGCACACTTCACATATGCTCTTACACAATTATTATAGCTAGCATAGATTCTATGCCTAGAAGGACTTCTGCATGCCAATACACATGCCTATGATAAAATCAGAATGATAAGGCTGTTTGAGTTGACATTTCTATTACTAGTGCCCATACATCTCCAATGGCTGGCAATAAATTTTAAACTTATCATTGCATGGGCTGAAATTATGACTTGCTCGTGCATGAACTTTCACATTATTTCATTTTGTTAAAAAACATTAAAATATGCTGGAGTTTCTCCAGTTTATAATAACTTCTAATTTTCAAGTGACGAGATCAATGATTCCTTCTGCTTGTGTCAACTGTCTTCGTCATCTGTTTCCTCTGCCAGAACTGGGGCTTCTTTCTGCTGTGATGCCTGACTGCTAGCTTGTGACAGACCAAAGAACAGGGACTTGAACTGCAAGTAAAAAAAAAAAAATTAAGACCATAAATTGCATACCTTAAATAAATGCACTAGACTAAGTTTAGTAAGTACTATTGTTACAGTTTCTTTTCCAAATATTGGGTCCACTTTTAAACCAAGTTCACTATACACAGACTGCATTATAAATAAAAGAATTTTATTTCCTTGATGGTTTACATTTTGCATTCAAGAAACTCCAGTATCTCATTTCACTTATGAAATCCCCTGCCCTTCAAGGCGTTATTTATAACGTGTCTCCACAGTTCACCTTTTTGCTAGGAGGTGTTCCTGGCACCATGTCTTCTTCATCATCTTCATCACTGCCAGGTGGCGTCACTTCAGGCATACTGGTGTCAGCCCCTACTGAGTGCAGCTGAAGAAGGTGAATAAGACAATACAGTATTAAACTTGGGAAATGTAAGATATACCCTTCTGTCAACTTTGTATAAAAAAGTGGTTCTTTCCAAGGAATAACACTCTAGTTGCCACAAAGAAGAAATGCAAAAAGAAAGTAGGGGTAAATTTCATACCAGATGTTTATTATTCTGCAGTGGAATTACAGGACTGGAGGTTGAGGGCTGTGCCCACGGGTCTTCCTCTGTCCTTGTCAACAGGTTCACTCTCCCATTTCTTGTGCTTCCTTCTCCTCCATTATTTACTCCCATCATAGGTTTAATGACCCTGAACCCCTCAGTTGACTCATCAAGTTTCGAAGCTGAACTTTTCTCTTGTCTGACAAGAAAAACAATGAAAATGTACATGTACCACAGCACCTGCTATTTGCAAATGTAAATCTTGCTAGGAAAGTTATTAAATATAGACTAAAATCCAGATACGCTTATGTACAGGAAACATATCTGATGACTATTAAAATTTGGTGTGATTATTGACATAATTATATATTCAAACTTTCTATCAAACCCTTTAATCTAATCTTGCAGTGAACTAGTTTATTCATTACATCCAAATCAGCTACAACCACTTAAAACCACCCCACCCCCTCCACGTACATTTTTCAAAACCGTGTCAAAAATATACCTTTCTTTGACAGCATCTCCACTTGCCATCTTCCTCTCCAGATTTTCACCACTAACTCTTCTCCCAAAACTTGTTGATGACACAGAAGACTTTTTACTGAAGACAACATAACAAGATCAATGTCAACTTTTTCATTCACGCTAATATATCATCTGCAACGGACTGAAAGTATTCTAAAATAACACAAAATTTCTTTCAGCCACCTACCTAAATCTAAAAATTAATCGAAAATAAATAACATTGTGTGCATGCTTATATGTGCATGCATGTATGTAAATCCCTACATACTTTTCAAGTTCCCAAAGATCATAAATGAACTGCACCTGGAATAAGATGTCCTCTTGGCTGCTGTACTTGGCATAGATCTATTGATGGGCTGTGAGTTCTGTGTGCTCTGCTGTGTGGCATTGTCCTGGGTGGACAGGTCCTCAGCAAGAGTTGCGAGGACTATGTTGCCTTCAAAATTTGGATCACTATCTATTGAGAAGACTATGGGCCTAGAGAAATAATACAATGAATCTTGCTTAAAGTCACATTTATCGGCTTTAAACTGAATTTTATTAACATAATAAAGTATTATTTAATTTATCAGTCCTTATCTCAAATACAAAAAAAAAAAAAAAAGACTTATTCTCAAATGTGCTGAACCACCTTTTGAGAAATACAACAGTAACTTTCCATGGTATACCCAATCTATACATTTTAATCCTGAATCTAATATGTATTGTGGGTCCCAAATAAAGTCAAAGTATAAAACTCACTTTCCTGCTGATTCAAAGTGGGCTGATACTGGCAGTGCTGTGACTTCTGCAAAGGCAAGTATGGCCTGAATAATTGAAAAACATTATAAAAGCATATAAAAATGAAATTGATGACTCAGACTCATTTATTTCCAGCCACTGCTCAAATATTGTAAACACATACATATCCAGTGTAGTTATAAAAATGATTTATAATACAACTAAAAACCTGTGTGAGAATTGAAAAAAATACTCAAGTTCAAGCCACAAAGAAATTACGATGACACAAATATACAAGCACATACCACTTTCTTATTTATCTAGAAACATACATTACAAGCAATGAATGCTAGAGAAAATTTCAGCCATATGTACCCGTAGTTCCTTAAGACAAAAGGTGACTTCTGTGTCTACCCCAGACTGAAAATGATCAAATTCAATTGGGTCCAGACCCAGTTCTGTATGGACCACCTTTTTAGGATCTGAAATATGGATTAAAATTGTGTAACTTACTAAATATAATAGCAAAAGTGTAGTGACCACTTTCAATTAAATCTATTTTTATAACATTTGCTTACAAGTTAACAAAATAGTTTTTCACAAAATATAGTTTCTTTTTTTCTCACCAGGTTCATCTTCCACATAGTTCTTGAGTAAAACTTTATCTGGCTTCATAATCAAGGTTACCTCCTCTTGGTTATTTTGGAAATTTAGAACAATATCACTCAAAAGCCTAAAAAGAAAAAACAGAAGATCACTATTATATTTAATTTAATTTGTTAAGTATGTTGGTAAGCCTTACATCAGCAAGCCAAGGCACACATACTAGTAAAGATGAAATTACCAAGACCTTATTATTTTATCTTTTCTAAAATAAAAAGACTTAAATTTCACCCAAATTCAACTTGCATGGTAAAAATAAAACCCTACTTACTTTGCTTGTGCTGTAAAAGCATTGGGACAGAGATCCTTGGAGAAGACTGCTTGTAAAGTTTCACATTCAATGAAAGATAAATTATGGGTTTTCACAATACCTACAAACAGAAAAGGGGGTTTGTAGTTCATGTAATGTTTAAAGTGAATAAGTCAAAGTGTGCTTTTAAATAAAATATGTAACATTTCTTTATGTCATAATTACTAATAAGCAAATCCAAAAATAATGTACAGATTGATATATACAATAATTCCTAATAATTACTGAATTCAGAGCTTATCAACTTGCCATTCCTTCATTTGACCATATTTAATGCTGTAGTAAAATACCCTTTTTTCATGATAACTGTTTGGATTTCATGATTAATTAAAAATGAAGTTATTCATAATTACCATGCCTGCAGTAAAGCTGAAATACCAGTCTAGACTCCTGTAGGTTCAGGGATATCTTGCACCTGTCAACAGTCCTCTCAATGGTTGACAGGGATTTGAACACTGTCAAACATGACTAAGAGTGAGAAAATAAAAGATCATAGAAAATGACAAAACCATTGTTAAGAGGCAGTAGCAGTACCTAAATTTATGACTGAGCATTTTTTTTCCGCAACATCACTCCAAGAGTGTCAAAAAAATGATGCTAGTAGTCTTAGGAGTTATTTCCTCATTAAAAGACAATTCTGTGACCTACACTGTATGCTATTTAAGCACAAAATAAATCATCAGCAGCAGCACAAAAAGCTAAAAATGTTGCTACCTATATGTAATGTCTAGTATTAACATAATATTTATACATTATTGTTATCATATGAGCTTAAGTGGTCAAAAAATTTACTAGAAAGGGATAAAAAAATATTGTCTACCACTTTGGGACTACTATTTAATCTTAAACAGCACTCAGACTGGTTTAACACTAGAACCATTTCAGGCCAAAAATGCCTACATATGAACATATACATTTGACAAATTCAGTGGGGTGGTGTCTCCTTATGTGGAGGTGCATGTATGACTCCCCCTTACCTTCATGTTAATTTTACATCTGAGCACATCTTCCTCTGAATCCTGGGAGTTAAGTTGCCCAGAACCATCATCATAGTGCTGGAAAAAGCTAGGAGCAAACACAAAACAGGCATAGGCAGATCTGGAAGAATTCACTGTTCTGAGAGCAAGCTGAAAATAGATTGTTTTTTACAGTTTTAGCATTGAAAAGGAAATGTTGTTGTGGCATATCCTCACTTGAAATTATGTTTCAGTTTTGATTTTTTTTTCTTTTTTTGTAGTTGACTCATTGACACCAAATAACCAGTGGATTATATAAAATGATGATAAAATAATTTATCATTATCCAGAACATTCAATCATAGTTACTAGTTGTGGAAAATGGTTCAATGTTATTATTTTTAAACACTTCCCAAAATCTTCAGGCAAAATACCACTATTGTTTAAAAAACACAACTTGTACATGTAATTAAGTCAATTACACCATGTTCCAAGGGTTCCAAGTATAATTCTTCACCAATCTTGGCCAGGGAATGTATGGCTCTTCCAAACACTGAAATAATATGAAATCTGATGATTGCAATATAAATTTATAGCATGTGTGAAACAAATATTAATTTGAACAAATATTACATCACTTGGTCATTTTGACAGCTGAAGTTGAAATGTATGTACAAAGATAACAATTAAGGATTATTTTGGGGTTCATCTCTGTCAGTTCTATTCCAAATAAACTAATAATATTATTTACTTTGGATTAGAGTTTAAACAAGTGTGTGTGTGTGTGTGTGTGTGTGTGTGTGTGTCTGTGTACTGTGTGTGTGTGCATGTGCATACCTGCGTGTTTTCACTTACATGTATAATCATACATGTAGACCTAGCCTACCCTCTACCAGGGCGACAGATTGATTTTTCACAGATATTCACAGATATGTCTCTAGATAAATAGACAATCATTTGGCTCTGTGCTTTTCCCATTTATAATCTGCCACCCTGGTAGAGGGTAGACCTAGCCCAGCTTCACTATTTCTTGGTTTATTTCTGCATTTCCACCTTTTCCATATTAATGTTATTGTTATAATAACCCATTCCTCTCACCCCTAGCCTAGGATCCATCAATTAATGCATCCTACACGTACACATCGTATCCCGTCTTACGTACCTTTCACGTTGATTCCTGGAATGATGCACTTCATTATAACGATATTTTTCAACACGTTCTACAATGTCATTACATTGTGAGTGTGTCTGACAAGGTCTCACGACCCTCTCAACAGTATGATGGTGCTGAAACAAGAGCAGAATATAATTATCGGGCTCTGATCAACATCCATGTTGTATTTTTCGATTTTCCCGGGAAATCGTGCAAATTAATCGTAGCATTCAATTGGTTATATTTTTAATTTCCTGTCAGGGCCTCTTTGTCAATATCCAATAGCGCTGTAGATTACAATCATTGGTAAACCGGAAGTCAAGTGACCGACGTGAAAACAGAGGATCGAAAATGGTAAAAAGTTTACTTCCTTATTTTAAAATTAAAAGGGAAACTCGAAGAATTTTGATGATTTAAGACAAGGGTGTGAACACGCTATTTCGGATTTATGTAAAGAAATGAACGTTTTATGACGAGATTTTACGCTTGCTTAAAACAATGAATGTAAGGGGGCGTATAACTTGCACTAAGTACAGTACATGTACATGTATATCACTGTAGTGTGTATCTGTGTTTGACAGTGCATCATGCATTGCCGCTGGTATTGACAAGTATTATAGTATCGCTTCGTAATTTATTAGTCCAATTTCCTTGATGCCATTGATATTAGATGTAAGATTTCTGTGCTTCAAAATTATTTTCATTTGTTATTAAATAAAAGTTAAAAGGCATTAATTTTATCCATAATTTGACAATCTACAGTAGGTGGAAGTATAATGACAGATTCATATGAAGATACCGGGTATTCAAGATATCATGACCTGAATTAAAATGAACTTGAAAATTGTAATTTTACAAGATGTTGAGTACAGAACTGTATCTACACATTTACAGTGTATCTTATCTCCATTCCAGTTGGTGCTAGTGCTAGGTGATCTCCATATACCTCACAGATGTAACAGTTTACCACAGAAGTTCAAGAAATTGCTGGTCCCTGGTAAGATACAGCACATCTTGTGTACCGGTAACCTGTGTACTAAAGAATCCTTCGACTATCTCAAGACATTAGCAAGTGATGTGCATGTGGTCAGAGGGGACTTTGATGAGGTAAGGGACTTTCAGCGTAATGATTAGTTATGGTTACTATATGCAGGATTAAACATGTTAGATAGAAAATATTTACGGGTGCCTGATGCTGTGACTGTAAAGTAAACTGAACTTTTGAAAACTTTGCACTTACAGCTATACCAGGACTTAATCAAATTTGACATATGATATTGATGTTGAATTTTGTTTGTCTGAGGAGGCACAGTGGGGTCATTTTGTTTGAGAGAAGCCTAATTAATGGATTACAAACAAAAATGACATCCTTCTTTCATGTTTGTTTAAAGACATTTGAAAGGGGCTTTAGTTTCTTTTAGTTTCATGCTACCCCCCCTCCTTTTTTTATAAGCGTATACCACATAAATAAACTGACATTCTTTTTTATTTACAGGCTATATCTATGTAAATTTCTTTCTTTCTTTTCTTATTTATGTAACTTTTCTTTTTCAGAACCTCAACTACCCTGAGCAGAAAGTGGTGACAGTGGGTCAGTTCCGCATAGGCTTGTGCCATGGTCACCAAGTTGTGCCATGGGGTGACACAGATAGCTTGGCTATGATTCAGAGACAGTTAGATGTAGACATTCTCATCTCTGGACACACCCATAAATTTGAAGCGTTTGAGCATGAATCCAAATTTTACATTAATCCAGGATCGGCAACAGGGGCATATAGTGCTTTGGACAGGTTAGTGTGGGCTGTGTTAATATATTGCAGTTTGCATTTGTGGTTGTAATCATAATCTCAGGAAATATTAAATTGTAGGGCTGGTCATCCAAGGTAGGTAGGCCCCAGGTACAACAAATACATATTGTTCATCGGAAAGATAAGTAGTTTCTGCTTTTAAAAGACTAGTTCTGTCAGCCCCTCAGCTGATTGTTTTTTTACTCATGTATGACACCCTTGATTGTGTTAGTTGTGAACAACAATATTTCACAAAATCTCTAATGCAACACACGTCGTTATCTGAAGCATAGCGTAACAACATGCAAAAACTATGTTCTTTTTCTGTTTGCCCCATCTCCAAATAGATATAGTCACATTTGACTCTCAGTGAGCTATATTTTCAAAACATAGATGACCTGCTAACTGATCCATGAAAGTAACTGCGTGCTGTGAATATGTTAAAATGGGTATGGACTTGCCCTAGAAAGTACATGGATATTCATCCCAGATTTTCATGCTCTGTTTATTATGTGTAAGGACCCAGACACCTCGCATATCGTTTTCTTCCTTTATACATTACAGTGCTGATTTCTTTAAACTTCTTGTAACATGAACAGTCCAAAATGTTGATATTTTGCTATTAAACAATTATTGGTGGTATGAGATTAAAAGTAAACTCAGATACATATGATATTAAATTAATGGACCTGTGCCCATTTTTCACAGGTAAGCATGTATATGAGGTGTTTAATAACATTCTCAAGACAATAAATGAATCTTGAAATGGTCATCAGTAAATTTACATTAACCATTAAAGTTTAGTGACATTTGCATTTTATTTTTCTTCTAGTGGAGTGACTCCATCATTCTGTCTACTGGACATTCAACAGTCCACAGTCGTGGCTTATGTGTACCAACTGATTGGAGAGGAAGTCAAGGTGGAAAGGATAGAATACAAGAAAAATTAATGGAGAAAAAAACGTGTAATCATGTAAAGAAGTGGAAATATAGACATTTACAAAGATATTCCTTGTGGATATTATCATGAATACGTTGTTATGAGTTCTTGATGTTTTAGAAATAAAAGCAAGGAGAGTAGCAAACATGTTGTGCAATGGTTGAATGGGGATGTCAAAGAACATGTCATTTGTTACATCAGATGTTTTGTTACATTGGTGTCCTTCACAGATATGTTGATGATCTAAAGGGGGGTATGAGAATTGTCAGTTTATTCCCAATTTTCTCATTTACTGTGGAGAATGCTAAAGCTTGAAAAACTGAGCTGAATTTTAATTAAAAAATTTTCTGCAAGATCATTAAGTAAGCCTGTTATTGTAAATGATCAAGAGTAAGGTAGACATTAACTGAGATGTATGTTATCAGTGAGGTTGCTTTGTCCATTATGTCACGTTTTTTCACTAAGAAGCTATACTAGGTCAATTCTTGCAATGATCAATATTTATATAAATGTATTTAGATTTGCATAACTGTAATTGGAACAGATGACATTCCTGAGATAACCAAATGCCATGTGCAAATTAAAAGTTTAAGAGCCTTTCTGGCAGTGTTGTACATATATTTATATCAACAGTATCTTTTATGTTAAGGTATCTGTACAGTCCTCTTGTATAGTAACCAATACTTTTTAGAATAGGTTTATTTTCTTTTTGAAGACCCAGATATAAGGAACTGATCAATTGTTACATGAATGATGAAAGATGTTTCATAAATTTCTTTTAAAAGAGAACATTTTGGATTTACGCAAACAATTTCAAAATATTAATGCCAATTTGAGTCTACAACAGTTCTTTTTTTACTTTCTAAATCTTTTATGCCAAGAAAACTTTAAATGTTAGGGTAGATCTCATCTTAATTAGCAGGTAAGATTATTATGAGATATTGTAGTTTGTATTGTATAATGCCAGTTTGATGTCTGGATATTTCTGTCGAGAAAAATGTAAGGTTTTCTGAAGTCACACAGTGTAAACTGTTTACAAAAGAAAATATAAAATATGTAACCATACAACCACCTTAGATATTTAGGTTTATCAAAAAAACTGAGAAATGGTCAGAATGATTCTGATAGTCGTTACTCTATATCTTGTACTGTCACCTAATTCAATTTAAAATCGCGTTAAAGCTAAATGAAGGAACATAACAAAAAACAGTAAATAGTAGAGTGCTTGCTAATCAGGATGGTTATGTCGACTTCTCCGAGGTGAAAACACTGCAGGTAGACTGTCCACCGGGTGTAAGACGGGGAGGCGGGCCATTGTGGGGTTTGGGTTTGTCAACTCCCAGTTACATCTTGCAACCAGTTCTATTGTAAATATCTGCAAGAGCTGTTGAGCAAATTTGCGCCCAGGACACACCCTGTGACCGCCACCGAAAGGGATGTTCTCGAACCGGAGTTGTTTGCTTTCTTCTGGTGAAACGTGTAACCAACGTTCTGGATTAAAGTTTTGACCATCTTTAAATACTTGGCTATTTTCTTGCATGTCTTTGATGCTGCAAATAACTGTCCATCCCCGTGGAATCTGGTAACCCTGGAATGTAGTGAAGAATTAAAATTCACTTAATTTTATTCGAAATACCATGAATATACATGTAATTTGTGTTTGTACGTCCACTTCAGATTTCTGCCATCGGCGCTTGTCTCAAGCACACACACGCATCGCGCATCGGCACTAATGTAGTAGACCTCTCTTTCCAGGGAAGCACCAATTCTTAAGCAAACTAAAACGAATTTTTCTCTTAAGTTCTGAAAAGACGTACCCCAAGTTCCAAAGTCTGTAGCACCTTTCTGAAAACACCCCCGACAGGTGGTTTGAGTCTCAGCACTTCTTTTATGACACATTGGACGTACTTCAGCTTTGTCAGCTTTTCAGTTGTGAGTGGCTGTATATTAACATCGTCTTTGGCCATGAGAAGGCCATGTTCCCCGAGTTCCGCCAGAATCTTTTCCCTAACTTCTTGGTGCTGGCCCAAGAGAAGCACAATAGAGGTCATAGCGCTGCTGGTCGAGATAGAAGACATGAATAACATCTCTGCTGCAGCATCCATGACCTCCATTCTGGTAAGCCGTCTGTATTCTGGTTGCAGTTCTGTAGAGTTGGTGTATATATCATCCTTTGTAAGACGTCTGCAGTGAAGGGGCAGTGCAGCTTTAAGAAGATGTGAGATTGCGTCTCCGTTGTCAATGTCGTTACTGTTGCTGTCAATGGCTTTACCGATGTAACTATTGATAGTTTGTCGTCCACGACGTGCCTGTCAAACAAAACATACTTTAACATTTTAGAGATGACATAAAGTCACGTATGACATGTTTTCTTAACCGGGTCTATGTGTTAAAAACGGCAACAAAATTTTAGCACGTCTAAACAAAAATGCATCAAATAAGAGAACAGAAGCCCTAGTGGAATCCAGGACCTCTGTCTGATAGAAGAAAATAAAACAATCTTTTTGAACCTTTACATTTTTATTCAAACTAAGAAAAAAATACTTTTTTTTTCGCACTTTCCTATTAACTATCTAAATTTCATTACTCCGTTAGATGGAAAAATAAAGCAATAAATATTGGCTTCAAAATGTCATTCTTTGAATACAATAATTCATATATTTACAATTTATATTGTTATGCATGCACCGTTAATTGTCAATAACTTCAAGGCAAGGTATTGAGCTGATTTGGAAGTTAAAAGCGTTTAGCAAATATAACTATGTCCTTTTCCGTAATCAGTGCTCTCTACTACACTACTATGAAAGAATTTTCCACGATGTTGAACGAGGACAGACATTCATATTTAATCTCCTTAAAATACTTGATGCTAGAGATTCAAAGTGGTTTACCTTCCAGACGGGGAATCCTGGGATGTTCCATGGAACTGTAAATAAAGCGCCCATAAATTCGACCGCTGCTTGTCGAATTTTATCCATTTCTGATGCTGCAAATCGGTCTTCTCCCAACAAAAGTTTTGACGAGGCCTGGAAATTCAGCGTTTTTATTTCCTCGTATACGGCAATGTTCTTTTTCACCAGCAACATATCCAAATTAGACCTAAAAAGTGCGAAAGGGACAATTTTATCACAAATTTTACAGTTCAGATATTTGCCATGGCATTAAAATTTGGTTTGTTATGTACTGCTTACAGTGCATGTCGAAAAAGCGAATACACGAGAGTCTACAACTTTCCGGATAACGACAATAGCATAAAACTTATTTGACAATAGCAATTTTAGCAATGTGCCCAGACAGATATATTGATAAATGATTTATTATGCATCAATAAATGAAGAATGAGAAATGCCGGAGATAACTACAGTTCTTCTTGGAGAACGACTGGTGTCACCTACCTTACAACTTCTTGCATTCGTGGACAGAATTCACCTAAAGAAATGCCACTCAATACTTGGTAAAACACCTGTTTCAGCGGTGTGTGTTTGGGACCAGTCATAACAGAGAGTGCACCACAGTCCCCCAGGAGTTCTTCTATGTGTCTTGGAACCCCGATCTTCACCAGGGTGTTCTCACCGCGTAGAACTGTGCTTACAAATTCACTGCTCGTGACTCGTACCACTGGGCTGCCCAGGACGTGCGTTTTGTAGATGTTTCCGTATTTCTCGTATTTCTTCTCCCAAAAATCCTTCTGCAAATTGATTGTTTGTGGATGAGGTCACTACGATTATGTCATTCAACTTAAACGGCAATATGTTATTTACATTAGCCTCTTAATTGGCGCTTGACGATTCCGTCGCGAAAAAATTGAATATGACTATCCCTGCATTTTCCTACAGCCGGGAAAATTAATTTTTGTACTCACTAAAATACCCAAACATATGTCTTTATGAATGCATTTTCTTTATTTAGGCAAGTGAACTACCAAGCCAAGTGAATGGCCGTTACATGCATTCCTTGAATATTTACTTCTCGTAAAAATGCAAATTTTCTAAAGGCAGAAATATCATTAAATACCATTACTTAAACAGAAGTAGTGCAATCTACTGAGATATAAGAACAGGCTAATTGGAAATAGAAGGAATCAAACAATATAAAAATCCTCGGTCTATTCTTTCAGTGATCAAAAAGAAATATAAAATGGATGATTTTAATCAGTTACTTAAAATTATTCTTTGAAAGATTTGAGGCATTGTTTTGGAAAATAAAGAATTGACAAAGAACGACGTTATGGTAAGGGATTAGACACTACAAAAATGCCATGTTGACAAATTAAAGAAACTAGAACAAGAGCACAGGTTCCTCTTTACAGAGACAAACCTGAATATGAAACAAATCACAAGGTTATAACTACTCTTCACATATAATCTAAGAAATATTAATTGTGTTCATTTTTCGCGTCACTACCAGGGTGGGCTGTTACCTGCAAGAACTAAACGAGGCATTTAGCTTTGGTTAAGGACAAAAATGGATCCTCTAAAATACTAAAATCGTTTAAGCGGCAGCCCCTATCCAGAAGGGATCGTGATTTGAATTAAGAAGTAGGCTAGTTTATTACATTCTAATTGAATTATTTTAAAATATTTTAAAAGATCTAAAACCTTGCAAAATTTTAGCTTACCTTCATGGCTAAATCCATAGTTTCTCCTATAAATGGAAGCCCCATCGTGCCAGGGGGTAAAGGTAAATCCACTTTTTCATCTTTCATGCAATTCAGGTAGTAGTACGACCACATAGCCCGAGCAAGCCACCACGCCACGGCAACACTTACGGCGCATATCACTATTTCAATCATGTCGATATATCGCCGAAATGAACACTTCACTTTGTATCAAAAACTTAACCACTACGCTCTTCTGTCCTAGATATCGCAACGGTATCTCAGTCGATTGTGCAGTAGACGGATGTAATTTCGTGATTTGAGTTTTGAATTCGAGCAGCTTCATTGAAATCCTAATATGTTGAAGGCCTAAATATAGTTGTCCTCATTCGTTCAATAGGGATTTTACCGTTGTGTGTCCGCCTTATTCACTCACTTCACGCCAAAGTAAACCTATTTTACATATAGCTTATTTTAACTTCAACAAGAGACGTTATATATGGTTATGACATTTTACGCAATTTGAAAAGGGAAAGCATTATTGTTACGATGACATTCTTCTGTTCCAAAAGATTAGTTGCGATAGCAGGGTAAATACCGAAAGGTTAGTTTACGGTGGAAGGGGCATCCATAAGAGGTAGCTGACTATAAGAAGATTTTAGACAACGCGTGAGTTCACGCACTGAGAAAAGTTAGTGATGCGCAAAGAAACGAAGTGACGGCTCTGCGGTTTGTGAAAAAGAAACAAAACTAATTACATAGTTTTTAGTTAGAAATGGAATGTATCACCAATGGGTAATATGGTTAGACAGATTATATCACATCAGATGTGCTAAATTGCTTGACTATAGCGCTACACAGAAATTTAAAAGTTGACGTTTTACTATGATCAAAAAAAATAAATAAAATAATAATAAAAAAGGCCAGTCTGGTACAAATAGAAACCCAGTGGACAACAGTATAAGGTCTGTCGTTCACGCTTCTTTGGAGAGAACGTGTTGCCGACGTCAATCGTCTAGATTTATTCAGATATCTGATATTGAGACCCTTTCTAAATGCGAAGACGCCACGGACAAATCCTTGCGTCAAAATCACACAAATGCGTTCGCAAATGCTGTTCAAATATCTGAATTAATGTGAAATATGTATTTTAGAAGAAAAACCCACAGAAATTTCTTCCCATTGGAAAATGGTTTAAATATGTCCAGCATTTATGAAAGACCAGTTGTACTCTTTGTCATGCAAACCCATCGGTACCAAAATGACTAGATACAGCTGGTGGACATTTTGAAGAAATGACACCACTTAAATGAGATAATAAATAGATGAAATCAGACTACAGTTTGAAAGACAATTTAATATATATATATATATGTAAATATATCACAAAAATATCAATGATCATTACAAAAATGCATGGCATTTTCAACCATAATTTACAGCTAATGATAATTTTCAAACTATATTTAAGCATCCTTTGAAACTGGACGTATGTGTTCTGATGCTAATGCATAATTTACGTAATCAAATAATACATTTAATATTGGAATGTTCACAATGCTAAGTTCCTCTTGCAATATCACATAAAGCTCTGTACAAACAGTACTCAAATCAATGTCATCAAAAGTGACAATTTTATAAAATATGTAAGAGATCCAAGGAATGGCTATTAGTATAAAAAATAAATAATAAAATAAAGCATGTTATACTTGGCACTGCCACAATATTCTCCTGTCATAACATGCTATTCAGACAACTCTGCACATAAGCAATGCATTTGGCAAATGACAATTAAGATATACTTTTATCCGATATACAGTACTAGTACTTAGCTGTGGAAGGAAATGTCTTTACAAAAGCTATTATGTCAACTTTTATCAGTAAAAAACATCTTTGTAACAGCACATAAAGCTACAGCAGAGAGTTACTTTTCATCTAACTGAAGCATACCTTACAATAGTATTGGTATCTTAGTGAAAACAATAAAGAATCTGAAACCGATTTGAGTGTCTGTATGCTCAATCCGAAACACTGTGAAACCAAGTGAAACAGTCACTTTTTTTATCTACTGGGATAAAAAATAGTCATTGTGCTTTTTCTATTATCAAAAATATATACTCACTAGGTCTATCGTAATGCCACACACTATTGTAATACTGATTTTGTCTCTCTTAATATTCAATATTATCAACATTTTTACTTGGCCTGTTGTCTGTATCGTAGTCAGAATCACCATAGTTTTTGGATCTCTCAGTCTCGTCACCACTCTTAGTGGTGTCGCCACCTGTCTCCCTCCCAGAATCTTCTGCTTCTTTTTCAACAGGTTTAGCTGTTTCACTTTCTGCACTTTCTTTTGTCTCGATATTCTCCGGTGGTGGAGATGGACTCCTGGGTGGTTTCTCAGAAGATGGGGTGTTCTCTTTATTTTCTTGTTTATTTTCTACATATAAAAAAGAAATGGATAAAATGTACATTTTTTGGGCATTTTAACAAGTTTCATTCTTTTCTCTTTTTAATTTTTCTTTTCAATTACAAGATCCTATGATTAAATCAAACAAATAATCAAATGTATGAGGCAAAAAAACTGTGCATCCACATAACTGGTACAATGTAGGAAAATCTATATTTGTCACTGCAACAGAAATGTTAATCACTGAAGTCTACTTAAAACAACTATGGAAGCACTATCCACACCCTAATATACCTGTTGCCTTATCTTCCTCAGCTTTAGGAGATTCACGAAAATCTGACAGAGTAGTCTGCCTTGATTCTGGGCGTGGTGTGGGTTTCTCTTTCATTTCTGAAATTCAAAGAAAGAATTTAAATTATCAAATCAGTACAAAGATAAAGAAGTCCTATTGCAAAGGTAAATGAAAAATGTCTGATGATAAATATTTTGTTAACTAAAAAGAAACACCTTCCTTGGATCTTTGTCAAAATAAGTACTAAGTTAACAGCATGGGATGGCGGAAGCAGGTTATATAAAAATGATAATTTAAAAGATATTTTCTTCATATACTGTATATTCTTAAATTATGATTCCACATTTAGAAACTTTGCCAACAATCCAAACTGTGTTGAACGTTATCAAAACTATATTTTGAAAACCAATGACTGACTGACCTTTTTGTTTCTTTGAACTGTTGGACCCCTGTGGTGGTGATGTTTTCTTGGCAGTTGCTGTTGTTTTAGATCTGAAATGTTATGACAATCATCAAGGCCCTTGCCCGAGTTACATGTTTCCATTACAAATGAACATGATAGAAAATCTATCAATCTGTGAATTGTCTACTAGTATCTTCTGTATTTACTAACAATAATATCTATAATATAAAATAATATTGGTTAATATTTAAAATTTATTATATTTACTGACAATTTTTTAATCTGTGGCCGAATTATTTCAGGGTTGCAAATTTACACATTAACTTCTCCCACTTATTTGCTTTACCTTCTACTAATTGTCCAGGTGGGTTTCTAATGTTGCTTACATAATCAACCATAGATCTACACATTTTGACAACAGACAACGTGAAAACCTTGAATTATTATGTTGAAGACAAACTCAACATTTCCACGCTGAATCCTACCTGTCTGTAGTTGTTGGACTGGAACCACTGGCAGCTGAGTCTCTGCTCTCTGGTTTGTTTTTCTCACTCTGGAACCTCACAGCACTGCCTTTTCTCTCCGTCTCATGTCTATCCTCTGCCCTGCTCTTTGACCTAGGGGTCTCACTCCCTTCACGTGGGGAAGTGACCCCACTCCTCGGGGTGGATGCCCTGGAGTTCGACCTCTCAGTTCCAGACTTAACTCTGGCAGGACTGCTCCTTGTTCTACTGTGAGGTCTACTGCCAAATCTTCTCTCTATGTATTCTGTGTCACTGAACAGCTTCTTTCTGGACCCTTGGATGTAGCCAAGATATTTACAGTAGTCTTCCTGGGAGAAAAATCCTGTCAAGGAAGAAAATGTAGTTATAATTTGATGACACATTTTTATTCTTTAAAAGCCATGATATTCAAGACATTGAATTATATTGAAAAGACGGATATAATAATTAATTCTTACTGTTTTTGACTTCAGTTTTTGACACATGTAGTGAGAAATACATGTAATATACATAGGTAAAAAAAGTTAGAACTTAGATTTTTTACATTAATTTGCAACTAAATTTTTGTAAAGATTCAAAATTCCTGTACACATGTAAGCTTGTGCAGAGAAGCATTTTAATTTGCACTTGCGTAACCTCTATACATGTGTGTATGAAGCAAGTCACCCCCAGATTTCATCCAAAGTTTTGCGGTCATTTTGTTTGAATACATATTCATATACATGTATATAAAATAATATGTGAAAATGAGAGAGCAGCTATCAGTAGTGTGGATGCCTGCGCAACATAGTGCACTTTTGGTAATACATGTGACACTACAGTGACAAGACATAAAACAAAACATTCAAAGTACAGTGGTGAAACAATCAAAAATACTGAAACAGTGACATAACAAGTGACAAGATACAAACAACTTCCGGCACAATACATAACGAAGAAGAGATTGAGTTGGGAAATGACATGAGCAGTAAACAATTGGACCATGAAACATTGAGAATTAAGATTAAGAGATTGTGAAGTTATGTTTTAATGTAACTTTTAATTGTATTTAACTAACTGCTCTCAGTCTTATTGTGACACAAGTTATCTAAATGGTAGAAATACGCATAAATATTTACGTATTTTTATATTTAAATTATTATTAAATAAATAACAATAACTATGTTAACATTTGAAAAAAAGCAGTAATGTAAAAAAAGGTGTTATTTTTCTAAAATTACCTTGTATTTTGGGTCAAAATGCCACTTATCATGTTGACAATATAGGAAATACTAGTCAATTTGCCAAAATGTTGGTTGAATACAAATGTTACTTCACAGCAAAACACATACTTTGTACAGGGACTGGTAGAAGTAGATATATTTTTTAATTCATAGTCAACATGCATTCTAATTCCTCAATAAAAAAACAATCTGTATTTCACTTGAAATGGAAGATCCTAGTAAAAGAAAGGTTGATGGGATAATACGGTGTAAGTGAGAAAACTATGTTAACGTGCAATAAAAACAAAGCTAGGTGGTGAACTTGTGAGTATCAAAGCGTGAACCACACCATGCACCTCTTATTACAACATATTCATACAAACCTTTGCTCCTGGCTCCCTCTGTTAGCACAATTAAATGAAGGCAAATTCAGGTAAATAACTAATTTCACAGCAAGCGATCACATCGATATATGTAAACCTCATTATAAAAAAAATCTGTTCCAATATTTCAATGAACATTAAAATCTGTTTCACAGCAAACATATTGCAGATTTGTAATTACTATTACAATAAGTCCAGATCCTCATGCTATTTAATTGAAACCAGTCATGTACACATCAAACATCTAAAATCAATTGGTAAAAAATGTGAGAGCTTTAAATAACTGAACTTTTAGTGCATGTACAGTATCAAATATCCTTAACACAACATGCAGTTATCCAAAATATACAGCTCACAAAGTTATTCTAGAATATTTAATTCCAAGTTTAATACAAAAAACAATCAATCACACAATCAGGTTATTTGTTGAAAGAGCATGCTATTTACAAACAAATTCACATTATGAGACTTCATTAAATACATGACATGTGAACAAACTTGGTATTTTTTCTTCAAAAAAATTCCGCACGTAAAACATACTTTAGGTTGGCGATGTATAAATGATGCATTTTCTTATGATGTCTAACATACCTAATACTTTCTGTTTATACAACAGGTTTTCATATCTTTCCTGGACCAGGTCCTTCATTTTGACCACACTGTACACATGAGCTGTGTCGGCCAGGTAGCGCTTGTGACCAGGCGTCAGATCTGGGTGCTGAAGTTTCCAGCTGCTGCGGAATGAGTGGGGCATGGATTTAGAGCGGGGCTGGTGGTGAGGACCGTTGCTAGGCAACATGATGGGGCCGCTGGGTACCTGACAACTGTAGTGGTGCCACTCGTTCACAGCTGATCCGTCTGATATGAAAAAAATATATGATAATGTTAAATCAAAAGATAATTATATATTAAAAATGTTTTGTAGATAATGAGACATTAACATTTAAGTTTTATAGTAATGTAGCAATTTTGTAACATCTCCTTCTTGGTTACCATGCAATGCTGAAGATGTGAAATGCATTAGGTGTGTAAATGCACATGTGGACTTGCTTCTGTGTTTGAACAGAGTTTGATTTCAAAGGAAACTACTGACACATACATGTAGGCAGCTTAAGTGTGCCGGATGACACATGTAAAACCTTTATGTACTGGCAGCTTTGACCAGTGCATCTACTGATGGTGACAAAGCTGCCTACATAAAATCTAATTCACAGACAGCGCATTTTTTTTTCATTATACAGAAATGATATTACTTTGAAATATGTTGCTTTCAAAAAACTGCTAAATGTACTTACTTGGAAATGTAATTGGTGGCCTCTGTTTGGTATTTCTCCACCAGTTGCTGATGGGTGTGGCAGGGCAGGCTTGAAACCTGGGCGTCTCTGAGATCACACAGCTCTTGTGTTTCTCTGGGTCTGGTGTACAACCTGAAACAGAAGAGAGAAAGAATGAAACATGAAGATAACTTATCCATTAAAGAACATTGATTTTTAAGCTAAACCCAAGCCCTTATCTTACAGACCTTATACCTGTATACTTCATTTTCTACTGGTTTTTACATGTAGTTCAGAACTGATAAGATTCAATCTTGAGGTTAGGATATTAGAAATGTCTCTTCAGGTAAAAGAAATATTAAAACATTTCCAAAGGCAGAATATAAAATCTGAAAAAAAAGAAAAAAAAATTATTCAACTTAAAATTCAAACAAGCAAAAAACTTACTTTCTCTATAGTAATGCCTGTCTGGGTTTGGTGAGGTAGCTCTGGTGGAGCAGGCACTGTGGGCTCTGCTGTTGTTTGCAGATTCTGGGACAACAATGGCCTGTCCACGCAGTCGGTTGTTGTATTTGTTGGCTTTATTGTTGAGCAAAACTAGACGAGAACTAGTATGACTTATGTTGTACACTTTGGCCACAGGACTTTCTTGAGGCCACTCACCACTTAGATGTGGCTCTCTGAAACAAAGAAACAGTCATTAAATAAAAAAAAATTGAATAGATTGTGTCATTAAATGTTATCTTAAGTTAGGTAAAAAAAAAATTAACAATATAAAAGAGAGAGAGAGAGAGAGAGAGAGAGAGAGAGAGAGAGAGAGAGAGAGAGAGAGAGAAGAAACGTGCCGAAAATTGGCCAGGTCATATCTTATACATCCATCAGGTACACACCATGGAGTTGTTGATTCAAACATCCTGTGGACCTGTCTTTAAGTCATTTATACACACAAGTGTTGAGACATCATGTCAACTCTATACAGGGGCACTGCCAACTTTGAATACAAAATATGAGTAAAAGCACAATTCTGATATTACATTTGTGAAAGAGTGTAACATGTCTCGTAACTCAAGCTTAAAGCATATACATACAATGTATAATAAAAAACAACCTATATGTATCTGTATGTATTAACTTCATAACATGATAATCAAATCAATCTTGTTTCAATGAACATAAGATTTCAATCAGAATTAAAAGGAGAACTTGTGACCTTGATATGACTTCTGTTTTAAAAGCCACAATCCAAAAATGACATTTTCAGATGGGGTCATTTTCTTCTAATGACGAAAACTTCTTGTATCTAACTCTTAAATCTTTGTGAAACCACTGATTAACAAATTCTCAATCTCAATAAGTACTCATATACAACCTGCCCTATACACAGTACAACTGTACCTATAGATCCAAATAAATTCTGCTTAAAACATTAAAAAATGGCAGCATCTGTACCTTGATCACGCCAGGGGGGTGCCTCACACACGTATCCTCTGTATCCAAGTGGCACCGTCACAACTTTACTTTTTGACCTCAAGCAGTTGATCGTATAGGAAACGTGAGAATGTGTTTTTATGTGGCAAAGAACTGGCACACCAATGCTTAATGACACGTTCCATAGGTACATAGTACACGCAAGGGAGGCATTTAAATGCAATGAATAGAAATTTGTTTATGAACATAATAATAAATAGCGCTCATGTATTAAGTTGCAGTTCCCAGAATACAATAGAATTACAATCACATCAAAGGTGACACAGCCATTAGGTAAACTATGCAGGGAGTATCATAAAACCCTGGATCTTCAAAGGAACAATAATATTCCATTGAAACATGTTGGTGCACATTACAACTATATTATTAGGATTAAATGTGTACAAGCTTGCAGAAATGCAGTGGAATACTAATAATCAAAAGTCACAATTCTATACCATTTAGCAATTGCAACTACTTTCTGTTTTATAATCACTTTTGTCCTATTCATTTTCACTTCCAGATTTAAATTGGTCTTTGTATACTAGTAATATTGTTAAGATTATATTAACACATCTCCTATTCATTGCAAATTAATGTAGATAATGACAGTGTACTACACATGAAACTTATAATTTTTACAAATGTGCACAAATATATCTCAGAGCACAGAACTTGTCCTGATTATCTTTCTATGCCTATGTCAGATGGCAGTCTTATGACTGTGTGACTTTGACATTATCTTCATGCAGCCACATGAAAACATATCCTTCAATCAAAAACATAGAGTGAGTGCAGCCTTGAAAGACAAAATGGATCTGAGTTGATGCTTATTGAAAAAAAATCTGAATATTTTAATGAGCAATTCTTGCTCACAGACATGAATTTGTTTTATCCAAATATATATACTAGTTTTAAAAATCCTGAGCTTCAGATCTGATGCATTCCAGATTCTTCATATCTACATCTCTAGAACAATGAGGCATTGCAATTTCAGACTATTAAACAGTGGGTTATAGGGGAAATTAAAAATCAAAGAAGCAGGCTCACAGCAGACCTGAAATTCAGGTTTTGTTTTCGTTTCCCTTGACACTTTCTACGTTCAATAATAGCAAATATACATGCCCAAGACCCTACCGATATATCAAGCACTAGTCAATAAACTGAATTACCCGCACAATACTAGCATAGCAGATATAACTGAAATTAACTATTGCACCTTGATAAGCTTTTTAAAGTCTTGATGGAAGCAGAGGGCAGACATGAAGCGACTTATCATGACTATATAAACAACTACAGAGAAATGCTCTCCGTAACCTAGTAACTGTCGTCCTTCAGATTACAGGTGTTAGTTTTTAGTCTAGGTTTAAGGAGCCCCTTTCAAAACAGCTTGCACTGTTAACAACAAGGTAACTAAATCTTTAATCTTTTAACAAAGTATGTGTTAAAACTCAGCTGGATGTGTTGGGTAGCCATGTTTTTCAATAAATCAAAAAATTGAAAAGAAATAGAATGATATTCATCTTACATTTCCAAGATGAAAAAATATATATAACTAATTATGACTGAGTAGCGGGCTTCCTATGAAAAGAGCTTCAAATTTTGTTTTTATTTCATGCAATACATTAAAACACATCCTCCAAACAAATTTTAAGAGACTGCACAGTTTGGAAAATTCATTATTGTATATAAAACATTGAAATACCATAGCCAAAATTCAATTTATGTTTTTCTTTTCTTTTTTTTTTCCTTTGAGGGGGGGGGGGGTTAATTAACACTTCCAATTTCAACTAGATTTATTCATTAATTGACATTATTCATGGCAAGGCATATATAAATTAATGTCATATGTTTTTTATATTTGGAAAGTCTGGCACTTACTTTCTATATTTTCTGTGGATGCTATCAGCTGTGACATTCCTCTCCACTGGAAGAGAATGGTCATTAAATCCTGTTGCTCTAAAGAGGACTCCTGGAGAAAGACTGGTCATATTGTTTCTGATGGAGAATCTGAAATAACAAACAAATTTCCCATAAAAGATCATTACCAATTTTTTTTTACTGCAAAGTATCATTCAAAATATTTTCAAACTTTGTATTTTTGCTGTTCCAAATTTTCTTTGTTGACAGATCATTTTTATATCTCAAGTTGCATTTTAGGGGAATTATCAATGCTATTTTCATGTCTTAACACTGAATATTTGGTTTCCTAGTATGGAACCTGACAAACTGATGGTAGGTTTGTACCACAACATTGCTGAAAACACCAGGAATATTTGTCAATTTCACCAAAATGTATTAAACAGCTTTTTAAGTTTATTCAATTTTGCTGTCTTTGTAATGGAATATCATCTTGATAAATTCTAATAGATACAAGATTTGATTTAGTCAGTGGCAATGTCCAGGAATGGATTGATGGTCAAAATACCCAGTGTTGGGAGTAACTTAATTATATCATATGGTAGTGACTTGACTGTAGACCATCAGTACTGGGATCCTACCTTTCAGAAGTGTCGACCTTCTTGATCTACCTGTATTCTGAGTAAGACCGACTACAACATTGCCTAAACTGAGTGTCATGGCTACTGACTGACGTCCACCAACCAAGTTAAACATAATTCCACAGTGGGCACAAGTATCAGTACTTCAGTAGGGAAACGCAATAATGTAACATTCATCATACCTAGCTGGCTCCTGGGTTTTCACGCCACTGTCTTTAATAGCCTAGCCTAAGGCATTACTGGTACTTATAATGTTTTCGCTTTTAAAACTTCGCCGGAAAGTGTCTCATGAATGGAATTAAATGAATGAATTAATGCCAAAAATACCTGCCTTTCAGAATTTTCCCTTGTGAAGCTCAGCTGTTTTGAGTGCTACACCGCTGGCAGAGTTTTTTTACTCGGTCGCTGACCAGGCCCCAGCTTAATGTTGTCCCTTTCACTCTGGTTTCCAACAAGTTAGATGGACTAATGGGTCATTGTTGGTCTACCTGTGTTCATGACCCAACTCATTTGCTCAATAGTGTTTGTATTGACTGCTGCCAGTCGCTTATATGAGCCTGTTGTTATTTTCTTTGGCCATTGAATACACATTCAATAATCGTAACCAAGTCAAACAATATGGCGGGCAGGTACTCGGATATGACGTATCAGTAGCCAGCCAATAAGTAACAACCACTATATTTACCTATAAGGCATGTGCATGGAGTGTGTGAGCCTTCTATTACTGTGGGGAATTAGGGGGGGGGTGGGGGGGGGGGGGGAGGCGTCGTCGACTTCTCATCTGCGGCCTGTCTTTCCTAAAAACCGGACTACCCCCTTCAAATAGTCCTGGATCCGCCCCTGTATTATCAAGTGAATATTGTTAGACTTTGTAACACGAATATGAGTCGCAAACAACGATATATCACATTTCCCCGAAGAAGGCCCAGGGGCCGAAAGCTCGGATTATATTTTACAATTGTAATGTAGATATTCAAAGGTGAATCAATATATACTTCTAATCACATTTTCAAACACGTTATGATTTTTGAATAATTAATTTTTATTGCGTTTATTTAAAACTGGGGAAAACTAACTGGAGGCTTTGGAACCGTGTACAGTGTATAAACATGCGACCAGCAATTTTTAAAATTAAAATGCAGTGTAGAGGGAAAATTATATAATGTGTAAAACAGGCATAAAGGGAGTTCCATATCGTTTCCCGATTAATGTTGATCTGCCGTTTATATGGTTTTATGGTATTACGCTGTTGGGTACTACCATATCGCACGTGGCGCGATTAAAATGCACCTGGCTGACCTTCCAACACCTCGGGGAAGCTGTGCAAAATATTATTTAGAGATGATACGTGCTGTCGTTACAGGTACATACCCGTACCATTACAGTCCCGACCTGTGGATCACACGAACTTCACGCAGAGCGGAAAAAATTAAAAATAAATAGATAAATAATAAAGTATGAATAAATTTATAATATATAGTACTTAATAAATGCGCACCTTTTTATAAGGTCACACATACCGCCAAAGTGCTTTTGACACTTATTCTCATACAACTCCTTGGCTTAAATATCGGGTTATTCAGTAGTTGTTCTGTTGAGATTGTTGTTAATTTCCATATTGTGTATTTTTACTGCGGTGCAACAAACAAATGTTTCAAAATAGCCAAGCAACAATGAACGGTAGACGTTTTACTGGTAAATGAATTTTTGCTTCTTCTATGCATTGATATTTGAAAAAAATTAAACATTATTTCTTTAAAAATACGAATTATTTTTTTTATATTTATTACTCTGATGACACTAGATTAAACACATCTGAAAGGGGTTTTCGTGACAAATCTTATTTTCATTGAGAAAATTATTCATATTACCAGTGCACTACTCTGTCACTCCCCTCACTTGGATTCGATATTTTGTACCATTATTAAAATTATATATTTACTTCATACTTATATATAATATTATAATAGAAATAACTAAAATAAAATAAACAATACCTCACATAGATAAATAAGGTAGAATCAAAACTAAAAAGAGCACACAATATCTTGTAAACTGAACAGACAAAGATAAACAAACAGAAATATACGGCACATTGCTCGATACTTCTTTTACGTTACATGACGTCACAAGACAAAGTGTTTTATAACGTCACAAGACACATAGAATAGTGTCATAGTTACGGAAAAAAGAGTCAATCGGCGAAAAGTCACGTTTTTAGTTTATTGGAAAGAAATATTCCAAAAATGGACACAGATCCTGATGGTGAAGTTGAGATGGAACAAGCAGCGCCCGATGACCAATCAGATACTGATGATCAAGTAGACTGGAGGAATCTCCCAGATATAGTCTTGGTTGACATTTACAGATGTCTGGACAACAATGACAGATTTAACATGGCATTAGTATGTAAGCATTGGAATGGCATGCTCAATACTGCTTGTTTATGGCGATGGTTCCAAGTCGATTCCACAGTTGGGCATTTTGCTGTACATCGACTGAGCAAACGGCATGATCGCGCAATCGGTTTTGCCTACGTTCACGCAATTCATGTGCGCTATCTAACCTTAAAATGTTTGCATCCATCTTTCATGACATGCAAGCGCTTCCAAAGAGCGATGACACGATTCTTAGCTATTCTTTATAATAAAGCGAGACTGAGAGAATTTTACATGCGCAACATGGAATTTGATCGTTTTTGGCGAGTAGAGACCACCACGGTCAGGTTGATCACGTCCTTGAGTAGATTTCTGCGAAACCAGACCCGGTTGCAAGTTTTTGACGTGTTTGGTGCACAGCTATCTTTGACAAACGGACTGAAAATCTTAAACAGTGTAGGCCTTGGCAGCGGGTGGAGCATCACCAAACTGAACATAGAAGATTTTTTCCATTCTAGAATTGCCGCATTCCCCGTGCCTCGCCTTAAGGCAATTCTTCAACTGTTTGTGAATCTTAGGCATATCAACATCAACTACAACTGTGTTTGTAATGAAGTGCTCGAAAATCTTGGTAAAAATTGTGCTGGCAGTCTAAGTAACCTCTCTATAAAGGTCTATCGCAACGACCCGCACTTCCATCGCATTGACCGCTCTGTTTGGCTGGGACTCCATCAAGCCTGTCCAGGGCTTAAAGTGAGCTTTCACTTCGATAATATTGGTCGCTATGAAGTGATCTCATCGATTTTAGTTCCTGAAGTCAGGCTCAGAAGTCTTCATATTTGGAGTGGATATGACATCATTGGCATAGATTGGCATTTGAACGATACGCTGCGACACATCAGCGCGACTATGAACAGAACGCTAGGTAGGTTACGCGAGTTCTGGCTAATTCTACATTGAAAATCGTTTTATTGTTAAATATTTGTATAATATAGCAATCTTTGAATGAAGAATAGCATTCTTTTAAGGAAACGTTAGCTTCGTTTTTTTTAATCGAGCTTCTCTATTCGTTATACATGATGTATCTCCCTTAAACATCAGGAAGTAAAGTGATTGTAATATATGTAATAAAACGATGTCTCACACTTATCTTTTTGCAGAGGTTTTGAGCTTAGAATTTGAAAACGATCGCGAGTGGGTTGACGAGTCTCTCCTGGAATTAATTGATGCATGCAAGCGGCCTCTTCGAGAAGTAGAGTTTATCGGAATTTTGATGGTTTCAACAATAGAGGCAATATGCGAAATGCAACTGCAACGAAAAATCAGTCAGTACATTAAGATAATATCAATAAAAACAAATGCTTGAAACAAATTACTTTCACATTGCGACATTAGTAGGCTGTGTATGCAGTACGACTTAAAAAGGCTCTCCAAGTTTTAACGGATATGCATTAAACTGATTTATCATACTCATTAGAACACACATTACCAAACTAAAATCAAAATTATACTTTCTAATAACAGTACTAACATTTTATCTTACAGACCTCACCAGATTCCATGTTCTTGTGAACCGCCTAACTGACGCAGAATGGGCAGAACTGAGGCACGTTGAGGATACATATCATCCCATGATAGTGGAACGAGACTTGAATTTTGTATTTGGCACAGCTGCAGACGAGGACTTACTGGGTTAGCAAAGCTCACACTCAAAGACTGAATGTCAGAGTGACCTCCCCTTGTGCTATTTAACACATGTGCATATTATATACCACTGTTGCTGATGACACATTGACAACAGTATAGTTTTTTTAACAACACTTTCAATTTTTCAGGAATATATTTTTAATTATTTTTAAATAAATAATATACAATCACATAATTATAAGTGTTTATACTTCAACTCCCAAAAAAGACTACATAATCTTACTGCCATGGCTTTAATTGCAGTACATATGCCTTATTTATCTCTTTAGTCCCTGGCATTATTATAAAAAGCAGGAACAGTTTGAAGATATGATTTTTTCTGGTATTTTCAATTCTGCCCCCATATCGTCCTCAGCATCAGTGTGCTGTGCTATAGATAAAGTTTAATGAGTTCATCACTGACGGCAGAAGGAGTGAGTACACCCAGGTCTGTGAAGAGCAGTGTGATATAAGCTGGTGGCGTGTAGTCCACCATTGGGTGTTCTATCCGCAGATCTGCACTGCTGCTCAGCTTGGAGGCTTGGTACTGAAAATGTTTGTTTATACATAGTCAACATGATGAGCACGCGTCAACAAAAGTCCTAGACCTTTTTTTATTTTCTTAAGCTTCACAAAATTTCCATAACAATATCAACAGTGACTTAAATGTTACACTGGTTAAATCAACACTTATTATCAAAAAAAAAAAATCACCAAGGAAAGTTGAAATCCATTTTAACAAACATTAGAAAGAGCTTAAAAGTTAGTCTTTATGTATTATATGAAACGTTCTTTAGCATACCTTGAACTGATTTGGCACATCCTGCTGATTTAAAGGATAGAGCCTGGCAAACTTGAAGCTCTCTGCTACTACATAAAAAGGCTTATTCATTTCCTTAGCAGCCACAGCCATCCCAAATGTTCCAATCTGTTAAAGAAATAAAGAAGTATTGTGACTGAGAAAAGTAACAATTATGCATATAGTCCCAAAGGATGAAATTACCTTCCAATGGGTGCCAAAATTAAAGTAAGAGTAAATACTTCATTATGCTAGACGATTTGAAAGATATTTATAAACTTTTCTACTATATTTGTCAGTAAAGAGCAGGTTAGTCTGGTGGCAAGCTATGTCCTACCTTGTTTATAATCCCACCACTTTCAACCACACCCTCTGCGCCAACTAGCACCAGATCCACCTTTTCCATAATGTAACTAGAAAATAGATTAGGAATTATCTGCACTGCTATCTTATAATTTTCCAATTAAATTTTTTAGTACAAAAGCAGATGAGAAACAATAAAATTAAATTGAAAAAAAAAATGTTTTTGTAAAATTAACCTTTAAAAATTCAAGCCATTATCAAACTTATTTTCAAATATCAGATCTACAGTGATTAACAAACACCTACCCTACAGCTGAATCCAGTATGACAACAGTTGGGATGTCCATGGCATTAAGTTCCTCAGCCATTTGGCACCTACAATATTTCAAAATTGTTACATTTGTAAAAATGAAACATAATAATAATAATAATAATAATAATAATAATAATAATAATAATAATAATAATAATTTTACTTATCAAATAAAAAGATCAAACATCCATTGTAGCAACGGAAACTTTCCTTGTGGAGTGCTTTCAATTGAAACATAAAAATCACACTGCATTCAGAGGGTTTTACCATACCCAGTAGAACACCATTAATCTTACCCAGATTTGTTGGGATGAGACTCTGTGACGTAGACGTTGAATCTTTTCTTAGCTTCTACTGCTTCTTTCAACACTTGCATAACAACACGTGACCTAGAGTGGGTCAGGATGGTCTGAAATGATACACACAATCTTCACAATGCTTGTAAACTCTAAGGCTCACAAGTGTTGGCAAAAAAAACAACGTCCCCTTCATTCAGCAATAAGTGAATTGCAAAAAGAAGTAATTTAGTTACAAATTAACCAAACCAATAACAATGAGAGTTACTACTGATTCTTGAAAGAAAATGAGTGTTCAAGTCTGTCATTATCCTTACAGCGCCATCACTAATGAAAGGATGTCCCAGCTTAGATATCTTCTTCCTGCACATTCCCACTTTTTGAAGGAACACATTGCCTCGGTTGAGAAGTATAGTCTTACATTCTTGAAAATCCTAAAATAAGAGTACATTTTCAAATTGAGTCTAAAAAGTTTTAAGAAATTATCACAACTTACAGCACTTAAAAAGTTATTTTAATATTAAAATTTTACTTATCAACTTTAACTGCAATTACATTCAGCAACAGATTACTTAAAATCAGATTTACAGGCAAACTGTTAAATATCTCACCACTAGGAATTTGTCAGAACTGGTGCTATTATTACTATCATTTACTGCTACTTTGGTACATTTTTGCAATAAATCTAAACAAAGAACTGCATGAAGTAGTAATTCTATTCTTCTTTAATTGTAACTTACAGAATGGTCCAAGGCAGTCAATGTAATAAACCTCAAAAACAGCTCACAACCTGATGATATGGATGCCACAGAACTGTCTGTCTTGGTCAAAGTGTCAATAGCATCTTTGAGATTCTCTCGCAGCTCTGATAAAGTCTCAGCTAAAAAGAAAATTAAAAAATGTAAGGCATTTTATTCTTGTTTTGATTTAACACAAATAACAAAATTTAGCTAATTTTTTTAAAAATACAAAATACAGTGAAAACTGTTGACAAAAAGTTTTACAACATCCCAGCATGTGACAGTTTCATATACCAATAAAAAGTGTTATACAGTACATTTGCCATAAAAAATCACACTTATTATATTCTCCATACATACCAGAATTAAGCTTGAGAAACTCCATCAATGTCTGGATAGCTGCCACTGCTGCTGAAATACTGGGGTCATCTCCCATCAAATGAGTAAAATAACTGACTATATCTGAAAGGAAATATCATACCATAAAATATACTGTATCTACAAAAAAATAATCATTATCAAATCATTTAAGTATTTTTTAATTGACAATAACAAGAAGAATATCACATAAATGTACAAAAGCTTATGTTTATTGGAAGATGCACCTCACAAACACTCTAAACCAGTGATTGGTTGCTTGCAAATAGGTGGGGGGATAAAGGGGATAAATACTGATATCACAGCTGGCAGCAGTCTTTTAGACACTGACAATAGTTAAGTCAACTTCTAAGTTCTTTCATTCTCGATTTATTATTTTTATATAATAATAATAATAATAATAATAATAATAATAATAATAATTATTATTATTATTATAGAACAAAATTAAAAATCAATGTTCTCCATTACAGACAAGAAAATATTTGTTCTGAAACGAAAATAAAACTACTTCAGCTCAACAATATTGTTAAGTGATATGTAAACAAGTACATGTACAAGAACAGAGTTGCCGGCAACCGCGTGAAAAAGAGGACGACAGTACTGTAGGCTACTTAAGTTCTTAACTTGTCACCTGAGCCTCTGAGGCAAGGAAGGCAGACGACGTTACATCATTAACAGATAAGCTAAGTAATTACACACAGGTATGTCCAGATGTTATTTGGAACCTTTCAGAATTTTCTCTTACCATCCTTATTCATCGCACACTTATTTTGAAATACACGCTATTTCTACACTCCGTCTGGTCCGGCTGCTGAAACTCTGGGAGATCTTGTTCACATGTGTCTGTCGACTGTCACGATAGAGGGCACAACTTTTCAAGATAATCTTTGAAAAAGCCTCGTTTTGAGAACTTGTAAAGATCTTTGACCAAAGAATAGACAGCGAGAACGAGATCTCGGTGTGGATATGGCTTAACCAAAACATAAACATGGCGGAAGGTAAAGAACAGTCTGCATTCATTTAGATGCTTGACAAGCACTAGTTTGACGTTCGCATCGTGCTTGTAATCAAAATACAAAATGCTCCTGTTTTATTTTCAGGTGACAAGGGCGAGCATAGCAGTCTGGTTGTGATCGTTTTAGATACAAATACTTCCTGGTGGGGAAGTAAACAACCTGAGAGAGGAGAAGTGAGTAAAACTATAAATAGTAATAATAGACAAATAGGATATAACGGTTTGTAAAATGGTGTTGGTGTCAGTTATATGCATTTAGATGAAATGCAACCAAGAATCTTAATGGCCAGTTATTTGAATGGACTGCATGAAACTTGGTGGCCCCTATTATATCTATTTGATACTGTATTCTTTTCTGATACAGTGAATTTTTTCTTTAAACAGTTCATGCCTGGACTTCGTATAAATTCACAGAAATTTGAAAGAATTTTTTCATCTTCATTGCTAACTATTTTGATGATTCTGTTGTAGAGCTAAATCTAACAAACATAATTTATGAACTTGGCAAATTGCATGTGTATGTGTTTTTCAACTACAGTGAAGATATTTTATTTCAGCTTGAGTTTTCGCAATGTCTTGATGCTGTGATGGTATTTGCCAATTCTCACTTGATGATGAACCACAAAAACAGACTTGCCATCATAGCAGCTCACTCTAATGAAAGGTAAATGGTATTTAGTAAACGTCTGCTAAACTTGTCTCCTGGCACATGGGCATACGTACATACATGCCATGCTCTAAAACCAGAAAATTCTTAAATGAAAATTATCAAACACAAGTGGAAAATATTTCATGCCGTTAGCTTACAGCCAACCTGAACTTAAGCCTTCATAAGACTGAAAGAATTTTGACTTGTGTTTGATAATTTACATTTATGATACAGCTACAAAGCTAATGAACATTTTTGCTCAGAAAATTATTGTACAACATTTCAAAGTAGTTTTATTATTATTTATTTATTTATTATTATTATTATTATTTTTTTTTTTTTGTAAACACTGGGGTACTTTACCTTTCAGCACATTCCTTTTTCCAAATCCAGCTAACAGCAACAGTAATGAACATTTTGTCAGGGATGGCAGATATGAGTTGTTTAGTCAGGTCAATGAAACCATAAAAACAAAGATTAAGTCGATTATAGATGGTAAGTGCACATTACATACCAAACACTTATTCAGTTTGCAAAAGATGATTATTAAAATTTTATAAAGAAGTAGATGATTTGTGGCAGTGTCATATCAGATACTGTGATACGTAAAGGGTTTTTATCTGCATTTAATAGTAACTAGATATTTAGGATTGTTCAGTGGGTATAGTGACATCTTCTCAAAATGATATGTAATTCTGAACTTCTTTTCCTTTCTTATATTCTTATTAGGTTCCTCAGAATTATACTCGGACTGTCTTCTTGCTGGTGCCCTAGGCATGGCTCTGTGCTGTATCCTTAATGCTTTTTTTTATGCAGGATGAAATGATAATTTCTGATATTATTTATATGCTGCAGCTATTTATCCAAGTGACCAGTATAAGACATAATTGAATTTCACAAGCAGTGTTAGTAGTTATGGTCATTTTTCTTTAACTCCGCATGAATAGATGCTCATCGTATTGAAAAAGAATGTGTCATTGGTGAAAAGCTCTCTTCCAGAATATTGGTAAGTGAGAACTCTAAAGTATATTGCTTACTCAATTTGGACATAAAAACATGCATCCAAATTACGGTAATTACTAGATCTTTTTTATATGGGAACGAAATTACAATGCAGGCTACTCTATTGTTCTATTTCATGCAGTAAAAGCACCACAAATGGTATATAGAAAAATGACTTTTGTGATAATAAAATTATGTATCTGAAAGATTGATAATATTGGCCCATTGAACAAATCAAGTTATTACAGTAAGTATATCTGTTACAGTTTTGAAGGAATGCTAAAAAAAGTACCTTTCTGAAGCCATGCACTTTTCATGAAATTATTGTTTTTTTTTCACTTTGAAGGTAATCAAGGGTTCTGAAGACAACCCATCCCAGTATATGAACTTCATGAATATGGTATTCACATCTCAGAAACAGGTAGAAATGCTGTTCATGTTATATCCAATTGAGTTTTAATTAATACCTTCTTATCATGTAATTCTGCTACAATTTTCAGCAATATTGAATTAGAGTTTTAATGTAGTTTATAATGAAGTACATCTTCATATTCTACTTAAAAAAATACATTTTTTGGGAAATGTAATAAATATTTTGAATTTAGTCATTAAATACTGTTACAGTTATGAACAAATATTGTATATTTTGGAAGTAAACTTACTGAGGCACTGTGAGTGAGTATTGAAAAAGTGATGTGGTTAAAATGTACAACACCACAAGGTTTCTAACGAAAATGAAAGGAAAAAAGATCAACGTTGAATTTCATCTTTTATTGTAGAACATTGCCATTGATGCATGTATTCTGGAAAATGATTCTGGATTGTTACAACAGGTAAATTGCTGAATACACATACTGCTCTATCAAAGATTTAAAATGTTTGTAATTCAGATCATTTTACAATTATAGAAAAAAGATATTGGCAGTATATCGTTGCTGCATATTTGTTTATTGTTCTTATGATGAACTTAGTAGTTTGCTGTTGTAATAAATTATATTAACTTAAGTGAAGTTAGCATTATCCGTGATTTTGAGTTTGTGATTCTAATGTGTTTTATTGATAACTATTTTTCCTTAGGCCTGTGATATAACTGGTGGCATTTACTTGAAAATAATTCAACCACAGGGCCTATTGCAATATTTACTGGTGAGTAAATTATCAGTTCAGAGAAATGAAGAACTTGATACATGACGACATGCATGCACAAGGGGCACACTATTCATTTTAAGTTGAAGCATTTTGTGATTGATGGTCATTATATAACTTGAATATGCCATGTTTAAAATTGTATTTCATTTGAATGTGGGTAAATGAGAAGCTTATAAATGATATGGACATTTGTATAATATGGTGTTGTAGAACTTCTCTCTCTCTCTCTCAAATATGATTGACTGATGTTTGATCAGTTGAAGATATTCCATTGTTTGTTGCTATGTGGAAAATATATGTGTATCAGTTTAATAGCATGACCCTACTTTGGTTCTCACAATTTTGATGTTTGTTGGGGTAAACTATATTATTGCTGTCAGTCTTGTTTTATTTTGTCTTTTTGCACTGTATTTCTCTTTGTGTTTTATCTTTTGTTTTCAGTTTATAATGACCACAAAATAAAACACGTGGGAAGTACTTGGGAAAAATACCAATATTTTGATTTCATGCCCTTAATGTTTTATGTGTATATTTCAGTGGGTATTTTTACCTGACCCAGACATGCGGCCTAAGCTCGCCTTACCAGCTCCAGTCCCAGTAGACTACAGAGCTGCTTGTTTCTGTCACAGGAATCTTATAGACATAGGCTATGTCTGCTCAGTTTGCTTGTCTAGTAAGTTATCATTCTAATCTTTTATCTTTGTTATTTTTTACTCCTAAGTGTTGAAGATAGCACCAACCTTTAATATTGTATGTTAGCACCAACCTAAGTTAAATATTTTTATTAATAAATCCAACACTTCTTGCACACATTGGCATTCCTTTTGGTCAAATATTTGAAGAGAAATATTTCACTGGAGAAGAAATTTGGAAGTTTTGGCAAAGTTCTTTTTCATTTTCTTTATTCTAAGTTGATCAATTGAGTCTTTGGTTAAACAAATCAATAAGGTTATAAGAGCTAAGGCATAGGGATATGGTGTTTGCAATACGTTCCAGCCAAAGTGAGTAACTAAAATTACTGTGAATGTTTTATTTTTATTATGCTTTGCATTGACAACATGCATATATCCAAGCACTGTCAGTTCTGAGTGTCTTCCTTCTAACTGCCATGGATAATTGTAAAAGTATCTTTCAGTACAAATTGCAAACGCACCACATATCCCCATATTGAAATTCTTATTTTTGGGGGTTCATTTATTACTTGCAAAAAAACATACATCCTGAAAAGAAGCATATTGCCTCTTCTACACATTTACAGGCATTACCGAAATAATTTTTGCAAAATACTATTGAACAATTTTGTTTGCAACAAGTAATTGCCATCATATTGAAAGTTTATGTAACATGCTGGATGTTTTATGGTTGCACAACATATAAAATTATGCCCAGTAGCACGAAATGATAATGCTTCTTGGAAAATTTTTCTTCACAAAAATGCTGATATCCAGCAAATTGGCTGAAGTAAAACTTAGGCCAGAGCCAAGTCCAGACTAGAGTTACTGACATAGCCACTGTCCTGCATATTGAATACATTTCCGTTGTATCAGCTTGAGGAGGGTTTGGCTTCGTATGTATAAACTTCTAGATCTTGACAAGTTGGACTCCTCATTGAAATTTAGTCCTATTGTATTATGAACACCTTCAGGCCTTTGACTGGGGTTCTCTCTTTGATCTGATTGAGAAAGTTGAAAGGATTTGGCAAAATTTGACCTGGAAATTTGTTTTGGGTCTAAAGTTGAGAGGTGCCTGCTGGGCAAGACGTGCTGAAAAATAATATTGGATATGAATACTATATATTCACCAATTTTAGAAAAATGAGCAACTTTAAAAACTTTTATACAGAGTAATGAATGTACACTGAAAGGCACAGAATTAGTAACAAGATCAACTGTAGAAACAAAACCTGGCTGCAATAGAGGCAGATATAATAAAATATAGTAAGAAATGCTCAGGATGACTTTTGGTAAAGTGTTTCTTCACTCGCGTGCGCATGCGCTCACACACATGCACATGAAAGAAAATGATAAGCATCAAAAATACTTACAAATAGATAGAATCCTATCACTGATCCAATGATAAGTCCTAAGGCAAGAGGTGTGCAGTATATTTTTATCTTCCTAGAAGACTGGAATTTATTAAAGTTTTGTCCCATTCCTCCACAGTTCAAAGATATGCTTGGAATGGGCTCCAAGCCGTTCATGCTGACATTCTCTTTGTGGATCTGGCTACAGTATGAGGAAAATGTCTGCATTACTGACGTAGCACCGACTTAGCTTGACATACAGGATACACATGGGCTTTTCTCACAATAGCATGATTTTAGCAGGTGTCAAAAGATAATTTACTTTCAGATACGTGAAAAATTGAAAGGTGTGAAATTGTGATTGACTCTTTCATTGGTTTGGCTACAAATATACTTTGACTGATCGTTTTTATGAATTTGATCAAAACAAATAAGAGGTTGACTGAACATCAGAAAAACTAAGCAGCCTGGTTCCAATCATGAAATGCTGTCATAGAATATTGGTCAATTGCATATTTCTAAAATTTAAGCAGTGTAGCCACATGCCACTGTATCCTTTCACTCTCAATAACTAATGCCAAAAAATTATTTTACTGCAAACAGGCTGGGTAGAAAATATTCACAGCAGATTCATTACCTGTTAAATTGTTCTTCTCACTTTCCCTGCCTTGTTACCTTGTCGTTGGTTTTTTTTGTCACATCTATGCACTTAGTACAACACCTAAGTTTGATTTATATATGATATGCTTATTCAGTGCATAAAAAAATCATGAATTATGGATATTTTTAACTTGTGTTAAAGCAATTGGTTAAATGACTTATTACTTTTTTGGCCCTAGGACAAAAGCAATAAAATTTTGGTTGCATGCATCTCCAGATTACAGCTTTTTTATGACAGCATATTGTTTTATGTGTTTTACTGGTCTTATAATAAATGTAGAAGGAATTTACAGAGTATCTAGTGCCACAGACTTTTATGTAAAATATAAAGTATGTTCAGAATGATGATAGTTCATTGTGGTTTGCACCTGTATTCTACAAAACTGTAAACTTTGCTTTTTGTCAGTCCCATATACTACCCTAAATACAAAAATTTTAAAGTAAAAATGTGAAAAGTTGTCTTCAGTGATCATCCTGGTTTTATGTAATTTTATGTTACATAAATCATTTTTATGTAAACTTAAGTTATTAAAGTGCTCATTTTGAGATTTTTAGATCAAACCTAACAACTCACCTGTACTCGCCTGTCTTTACATTTCCTCTTGGTAAAAGTAATCCTTGGTCTCCAGATTTATAGCCATGATTTACTCATTTGATATGCTGGTAGCGTACAATACACAGTGTGACACAATCCCTAATACCCATTTGCCCGTTCACTTTGATTATTACGAACTTTTAATATATATATGAATGTATTCATGAGTGGCTGAGGTGTGCACATACAGATTTTATATCTGTTACATAGGGCTGGTAATTAATAAAAGTGCATTATGGTTCACTCATTGTATGCAGCCATGTAATTTCCAGGATGTGGATATGGAATGGGAGCTGGGTCCTTTTGATTGTTATATCAATATTATCATAATATTATTTTAATATTAAAATACATGTACTTCCTGGCATCTGGTTGTGTCTAGGTTTTTGTTGATGTCCCATACCTGTAGGCCATGCATATTGTATACACACAAAAGTCTGATGTTGTTCTAATTGGCCTGTTGTGGCAACTCTCCTGGTCCATCATTTTGATGACTCCTTTTTATCACTGCTCCATAGATCTGCAAATGTAGAGTTTTTTTATTGATACATTGATTCCCCAGGTTTAAAAGATAACAGGTATTTCAGAATTTCCCCTACAAATGTTAAAAACCAGAACTCCTTACATCTCAATATTTAAAAATTGCTTCTGGGCCCAGTGGTTACAGAGTGGATACAGATGTAGCATTCAGGCAATAAAAAAATAATAATATGCACTGATGAGACTTTCCCGACTTTTGTTGGAATTGGTCATTTGGGTCATTCTTGTGAATCGTGTACCCTGGACCCCAGGCCAATTTTCATACTTTTTCAGTGAAGACTGGTCATCCCTGAATGTGGCAATTCAACTTTGATATTTGCATAAACTTTGGTTTCTTGAAACTATTTCTAAACTCCATTTCAGTGAAAATGACATCTTTTAACTATAAAGTACAGTGTGTTTAGTAATTTAAAAAAAATTGTCGAGTTCAACCACAGCTTAAATGTAATTTCAGTTGGTAAAAAACAAGGGTAATGATAGATGAGGATTGTCATTTTGTTTTTAAGGAAACATAGCTGATTTGAGTTGAATCCTTTATTAGGCTGATAAATTAGCAAGTCAAGGAGTGTTGCATAATTTTATTACAGAATAATTACTCTGCACTACCAGAACAAAGACCTTCTTGTCAGAATACAATTAACTGTAGTACATCAAAGTCAGTGTGTGTGTGTGTGAGGGGGGGGGGAGGGGCATGCAATAGATGATAAGATAAATAAGAGAAAAAAAAAAAGAGAGAAAGAGAGGAAAAGGGTTTGTCATCTCATTACAGGAAGACATGATTTGGCACCATTTCAAATCTAATGTAGTCCTAATGTGTATACAGATGCACGCAGTCATGGCATTATAACTTCATGGATTGTTTTTACTTTTATTCCAGTTTTCTGCACCTTCAGTCCCATTTGCTCTACATGCCAGTAAGTATGATTTCTAAGAGCATAGTTTCCATGTGGGATTTTTATTTATTTATTTATTTATTTATTTATTTATTATTTTTGTGCAGTAATGCTTGTAGTGCAATTATTCACAGCTTTTAGGTTACCTAGTAATGTAAAAGTTTTAATTCTTTTAAGATTCTTGTGATTTTGAGCCTGGTTCATCAACAAGTAAGAGGTTCCTTTAACACAGGCTGTTTTCATAGGATTTATTGGAGAAAGATATTAGCCTCTGTTTTTTAAATATGCATTTGTAAAAATTTGCAAAGGTTTCTAGGTGCTGAATATTGTCTAACTTTGTTTGGTATGTGATTGTCAGTTGTTACTCTATAGACAATTTCTTATTTCTTGCAGCACAACATTTAAATTTAAAGGACCACCCAAAGCAATGAAAAGGAAATCAAAGAAACAGATGAAAGCTAGCTGATATACTATGCCCAGGAAAGAAGAAGCACTTTGTGGAACCAACTCTTAAAGGATGTGCTCTTTTGTGTTCTTTATAATGTAAAGCATATGAAAGAAATATGATGAGAGTGAAAGGAAGAAAAAAAGACATTGTTCCTTTTCTATCTCATTTTTTAACTTCCCCACTGTCAGTATTGTTGTCTGTCTGGTTTATACTTGGTGGTTGGAAAACTGATTACCCGTTTAAGCTAATGTTGGGAGTTATACTGATTATAAATCAAAAATGATTAAATAAATTGTTTAAAGGAAATCTTATGTTTTAATCAGTTCAGTGTGTAAGTATTCTTACATTGATTAAACAAATAAATAAAGTTATAGGAGCCAATGTATAAGGATATGGTGTTTGTAATACATTCCAGCCAAAGTGATGAACTAAAATTGCTGTGAATGTTTATTTTTATTATGCTGTGCATTGACAACATGCATATAACCGGTATGAATGTGAAACAGTCTGTCTTCCATTTAACTTCCATGGATGATTGTAAAAATATCTTTCAGTATAACTTGCAAACACATTACATATTCCAATATTGAAATTCTTACTTTGGGGGGTTCATCATTATTTATTACTTGCAAAAAAAAAAAAAAAAAAAAAAAACATCGCGAAAGAAGGTTTCATTTAGTCCACTACGCTCACCGCTATTGAATCTTGCAACTCGCATTTCATACCATTGATATAAGCTTTACTGTTACTCTTGGTGCGATTTTCTTGGTCAACAAATGCAATTTGAGGACTGCAGGTGTTCGTTATATTGCCTTAGAGGCGAACTCGAGTACAGTGTGCTTGATGATCCAATCTGGGCAAAGTTCTGGAAGTGGCGTCTCCGGTCACAGCTGCTACATTCCCTTCTCCCCTTCACTGTCAATATTTACCACGCTGATTTATTCCACCACACCACTTACCTTTAAGAATAAACTTTACTTATTCATTAGGTGTAGTATTACTTGGAACTGTGTAAAACCAATAACGAGTAACAAAAGCCCGTATTTCTGGTCTTTCTTCCTCTTTGTTCAACTTGTTCTCAGGTCACTAGTCGACTTGAGATTTTTAATTAGAACAAACCGTGTAGGGCGTCGCAGTCATACTTGCTGCGAGGGGCCTATCAACACGATCACAATGGCACTCTTTGTTGCCTGCTCAATATTTTATGTCAAGTTTTATGTTCAGAATAAGTTGATGAGTCCCAAAAGCTGCTTGTGTAACTATGGGAAATAGAGACGCACGTAATGAAGTTGGTGTTTTTAATCGAAAAAGGTGTTTAATTTTTAATTTCTCACTGTTCACCCAGCTACGAAAACTATCAAAAATGAATGTTTGCTATCATCAAATTGGGAGTATTTTTTGCATTTAAAAGCTACAGGGATCGGCTATAATATCAAAATGCGCTTGTATAATTTTGGGATAGCCTTAAATAATATGCCAATATCGCATTATGAAAGATATTTGTTATCGATCACGATTGTGATAATCTGAGTGGTTGGGTAGGGGACTGACACGTTTACCAGTACGTCAGAGCACGTTGGCGTGTTGTTAGAGTTGCGGATAACGGACCTATCTAAATACGCGGCCGTCTAAAACCATAGCCCAGTTACTCCAAACACAAAGATTGCAGTGCAAATATGTATTTATTGGCTGAGAGGTTTGTGAGTGAAGCTCTGTTAGCGGGGTAGTATAGTGTCGTCCACTTTAAGTGCCTATGCGATACCAAACAAGCGAACTTCCCTGCCTTATCTGAGCGCCCAGAGTAACGGTTGGAGTGGGCAGAGGTTTACTTGTGAAATTAGATTAACACCACGAAAGGCTCGTGAATGTGTGACCTCATACGGTAAGTTAGTGTTTATTTTAACATGAAGTAAAAAAACAATACTGGCAATGTTCTGCGTAGCATCAGAGTGAAATTCTTGTAGTAACATTTTAGTAAATTTAGGGAAACCAGTTAGCCCGAATGACTGAAGCGTGTTATCAATTAGAGTTTGACCTATACATAACCTACTTACAATTACAATGTCGTGTATAAATACAAAGATCAAGGCGTTATCAATGTAGGGCGCCACCCTCGACAATTTACAATGGACAATGTAAGAAACGTATTTTAATGTAGACGGCAATCGATCACCTCTTCGAGAGATGGAATTATATATTATCGATCCGATTTCAAAACATGGCACACCACATCTGAAATATGATTTTATTTTTATTCACTGTTGCTATGTTCAGTTCAAATGTCGATTTAAAAATAGAGTATAAGAATTTTTAAAAGAGCCAACTGGTTGGAAACTTGGTGGCATTGACCGCGTCTCTTTGAAATTCAGTCTAAATGTTGTCACAAAGGGGAACACTTGTAGCGACCATAATATATGTTGCCTATCTTTTTTGCTACAGGGTTTACAAAAGGACTAAAAACAAAATGTTTCTGTTACTTAAAGCATTTACGTACCTTCCCATCATTGTTAATCTGATTGCATTCAGCGAGATTCCCCGCAGAGTTGGATCAATCTGCAAAGACCAAATAGTGGGCATGTCTTGTTAAAAAAATAATCAAAATAAAAGTACATAAACTAAATAGGTTGAAAACAATAAGAGACAATAAGAATACAGTCACGCAAGAAGGATAATTGTAGAAACGTTCCATGTTATTAGTAAGATTGGTCTGGTGCACGTAGGTATACTAAATTGGATTTGAACATCATATCTACGAGTGGCGCTTGCCTACACGCTGGGCACAGACGGGCACCTCAGCACTACACTCTTAACTAAACACATGTTTTTCTTAACTTGTTTTAAATGGTTAAAGAGAGGAAATTCAAGCAAATCATTTTACACTCCGTCCTCGAGGTCGTGACCCATTAAAATAACTACTCCAATCTGCACAGCTATTGCAAGTTTAGGTAATAAACAATAAGAACAGAGGCAACAAAAACTGGATAAGTCAGGTCAGATTTTATTATCCCGGGGACAACAAAGTAGCAAAAACGCTGTAAAAACACTAATATCCTCTTCTTGAATCGGTTTGTATTAGGAGGAAAACACAGACTGTGTTCTATGTTATGAAAACCTCGAAGGCAGCGAGCGGCTTAGAAAACACTGGGGAAAACATAAAACTTTATTATGTGTGACTACATAGTGATATAGGCTTTTAACGTGTGCTTTTAGCGCCCGTTTGAAGTGTAGAGGGCAATTGTCGAACTAGGAAACTGTAACCGACTCGTGGGTGCCAATCGGAAGGTGTTCCGTGCTATGAGAAGTAGTTGAATTCATAGCTCGGACTTGGACGATATTCAGGCAAGTATTATATTCTTTGAGTTCCAACGCATTATGTTACTTTTTATCCTGTGACTCTACAACAGAGAGTGAACATGTAGATCGAATTCGGTTCTAGTCTCCTGATTTTTCAGGAAATAAGATAATGATGGAAGACTACCGTATGCATAATTTGCCTGGTGGAATTCGCGCATGAAACAGAAAGGCAAAGTAGTCTCTTTCGCAGATTGCTACATGTAGGAGTTTTTGTTCTCATTACCAAGTCCTTGATATCTTCACCAATGTCTGATTCTTCATTGTACTTTTCTGTTCAATGTCGAATTGCAAACTTTCTGGCACTTTTCATACTGTCAGTTCTCTGTAAACTCCTTATTCTTGAAGCTGAATTTTTCTTGAAATGCGTTTGTTGCGCAGATGAGACAACACTGAGATCCGATTCGACTTTTTTAATTCCAAAGTTAAGGGGCCCAATTTTGAACCTGTGCATCGTTATTTATCGAAAATAAAGATTTGAAATGTTAGCATATCTCATTCTGATTATGGAATATCATACGTACCATTCGAAAGGGATGCAAATAACACGATCAAAGCTACATAGTATGTTAGATATGATCTAAAAATATTGAGATAAAGAAAAATTGTGCTGATTTGTTCTAAGCTCAGTGAACACATGTCCTATCTTTCGTGCAGTCTCACCTGTACACTTTGACATGTTTACTGATGAGAAAACGCATATTTCAGTTACTGGGAAAAACCCGAGACCCGCAATAACATGAAATCGTATTCTTTCTATCGCTATGGGCAACTTGTAGGAAAACACCAAATAAGAAAGCATGGCATATTTTTCTTGACAAAGGCAACATATAGAACGCGATGTCTTTGAGCACCCCACTGATATTCCCGCGCCCTCGGCCTTTAACGCACCTCATTTATATCTATTTAATATTGAGTTGATCTGACAGCGTTCTAGCGGATTATCGAGCGCATACACAGAACGATTCAACTGCTTACACGGACCCTTAACACTGAGCAAATAGCGGGTCATAGGCGGGGTGATAGCCGGGCTTTGGAGGCTTAGGGCAAATAGTAGGTGCCAGGGGAACAGGGAGATAATCTAGCGTGGGATAGGTGAGTGGACATTCGAACGGCAATCACAGTGGACAACGGTCATTTGAACGGATAGTGAGCTGACCATATGGACGCCCGTTCATCAAATAGGTGCGCGTTATGTGCATGTCAGAAGATGGACTGTGAAGAAAGGATGAACCCGGAACCCAGACTACCCCAGTGGGAGAACTGGTAAGCTAATAAGGATGGCAGTGGATACGTTTCATATTGAGTAAATGATATGATAGTGTGCAAAACCACGGGTTTAGGAAGAAGCTGAAGGCCACCACGTGGCTCAGCTTGGAATGACCAGGGGGATAGTTCAGAACAATTTTATGAATAAAAATATTTAATAGTCGTCTTGTCCCTGAGTCTATAATATACAACTTCGCCACTGTTGAAAATGTTGGTCTCACTTTGCCACAGGGTGCTAATTTGACAATGATTGTGCCATTTTGAAATACATATATGTCGTTAGTAATTTGCGTTTCTTAGAACTTCGATTTGCATGATTTCAACATGATATTCTCGTCATTTGGTGTGCTTGTCCAGACGCTGGTTAAAACAGCTAGGCGGTACTCGTTTAGAAGATAACTGGAACCAAACGAACAAAGATAAAATATTGAAAATGGCAATATGATATTACATCAACAGGACACGGCTGCACTTTTTTTGCGCGCTATTTAAAGCGTGCATATGTACTTTTTGTCGCCTTCACCCGTGCCCTTAAAGCTGTGATTGCGCGCAGATTCAATTAATAGAAATGAATAACACTGCACTGATCAAATTGGGAAGAAATCGTGTTCTTGAAAATGGACTAGAGTGGGTGAGTATTGCCTTAGCTAAATATTGAAAACAAAGATATTTTCTAGATGAAATAA